ATAGCCCCCTCTTATTTCCACCGTATGAGCATTTCGATGGTTGAAAGATCCCCCGTGGTCGATCCTCTCTACCTGCCCTTGAAAATAAGCCGCAGTCTTTCACGAAAGTACCTGCTACTTGGTCGGATTTTACCGTTTCCTCCCTCTCATCGCTCTCCCTACACTCACTCTCTCGTGACCTTGCTTCAGATGCAGGGATAACTTTAACCTTTTTGCTTCCGAATGGAAGCTTTGTAATCGTTACACGGGCACAATTATTTTGTGAATTTAACAACTAATTGTTGAAATTCACCAAATAATTTTCTCCGTCTTCAAATTTAAATTTTGGACTTTTTGTGTTATATCTTATTGTGTTCGCTAATAAACGGATGGAGTTGAGTATTTTTTTCGCCATTAATTAAAATTTAATTCATCGATTAGTTTTTTTAATTTTCGAATTTCATGAATTTCCCTGAAAGTGCGCTTTCTGATAGTTTCTTCAAATGTGACGTTTCAAATTAATTCACGTACGTGTAAATAAAATTTTTCTATCAGCATTTTACCGGGGCGCTGAGGGGACTGATAGAACTGTAAAAAAGACAATCGGTTGTATGGAACAAAGGGATAATAAGAATACAGTAGCGTATTGGTGTATTGGCCAGTTTTTGACGAATATCTTGAAATCTAAAAGAGATAGAAAAATTTTTGTCATGTACTTTTTTGTAGAGCCACTTGAGGGTTACAAAAAAGGTCGTGAGAAAAATTTTGCTATCTCTCTTCGGTTCCGAGATATTCATCAAGATAACAACATTAATTTTAATAAAATGAAATAAACAATGAATTACACACATGATGGAAGGAAATGATGTGCAAAATAATCATTCGGAAGCATATTGCTAATTTATTAGCAAAAATAACTATACTATATGCAATTCAAGAGCAATTCCCCACTTCCTCAATTTTTCGATCGTTAGACGATCGTTAGACGATCGTTATTCCTGAATTTTTTTCTCTCTCGCCTCTCGTCCACTCCGAAGAGATTCTTCCGGTGATAGGAACTTGATATTCATCAAGGCCACAGTGACCCCACGGGGTCGAAACAAGTTTGTTTCACAGATGTGAAGTAATTATCGCTGTAAATGCGAGTTGATATTTCTCACTACATGCACAGGTTTTTGCTTTTGCCTTGAAACAAATAAATAATTGTTGAAAAGTTGGTGTACGTGGAGGAAAAATTCATTGTTTATTGTCGTCGTGTAGGTGCGCGTGTCACGTCTCGTTCGCTTAATAATTTGCAATGCAAACCTGACGCTGTGTGCAATGGGCAAGTCGCGCCATTAATTATGCACTCAACTCTTGGGCTTTACCTTCTACATCGTCATGGGTAGAGGCAACAATGGACATGCTCGTGGGATTTGCTGGAGTTTCTCGGGGTATCTTTCAGGTTGAGCCGTTCATTGCGAGCTCGTGGAGGGTTTTTAGAGCTTGTGGAATTTATTATGAGCAACGGTTTTTACGACATTCTTCGGGACCGGTGGAGTTCAAAAAATGGAGGAATTGTTTAGAAATTTTGGGTCTTATGAGGCGGGACAGTTGGAGGATGATGATCTTCGTAATGACAATATTCTTGTTCAAGTCATTGATTAATTCGGTGATTGAGGGGAATCTATAATTGATGGGCGGATTTTGTGGAGAGATTTTTCTTTATTCCTTCCTCTGCAACATTAATTTGACGAAAGTTGATACGTATTAATTGTATTTTCAATTCATTAACTTATAATTTGTTAATTATTAATGAACAGACAAATTTAATTTAAAGGAATTAATCAATTGAAATAATTGAAATAATTGATTAATTCCTTTGTAACATTAATTTGGCAATTAATATTGATACGTATTAATTGTATTTTCCATTCATTAACTTATAATTTATTAATTATTAATGAACAGAAAAATTTAATTTAAAAGAATTAATTAAAATAATTTATTGATTGCTTTGTAACATTAATTTGGCAATTAATGTTGATACGCATTAAATGAATTTTCCATTGATCAACTCCTAATTTTATTAATAATTACCGGCTTTCGTTAGTAATAAATTAATCTACACAGTTACAAAAAAAAATATTCCACTGGAAATTCAACAGATTTACAAATTTTTGAGCCACAGGGCAAAAATTCGCCAACTTCCTTGGAATTTCAATGGTATTACTAGCAATTCAGCGATGAATGAACGAAATTAACTCGACATTTACCGAATTACCAAAGGAAATTGTTGAAATTTTGACAAAATGTTTCTCACCGAATGGGAATAGAACGTATTTTCATTATTCAACACGTGAAATAATTACGTCAACTTGTCGAGAGGCCAACGTAATATGGGGTATATATACAAGTTCCAGGTAAAGCCCTGGAGGTACACCCGGGTAACGGTAGACTTTAGTCAGATTAGTTCAAGTTAGAGTCTCCGGTACTCTAATCTCGTTAACTTCCTTCCTCCATCCTCAATGCATACATATGCACGGTTACGGAACTCTCGAGAGTTAGTCATTATGAATTTGATATTAAATTCATGAAATTGTTGAGAATTGAAGAGACCCAGTCATCTTTTACTCGAAATTGTTGTCGAAATTGTGAGCTTCTGGAGATGCCACTGGCGTCATTGGTCCTCGTCATTTAAAGTACCTCGAACTTCCTATTTTTACCTCACCATCCAGAATAGCCCCCAAAGGAACTTTGATCCCGTGTAATTGGACGTGACGTCCTCTGAATCTCCGTTTACTTCGACGAATCCAGCAAACGGAGACTCCCACTGGCACTTTGTATCCCCCCACCTAGGAGTTCTCTTTTCAACTGGAGTAGTCTGCCTATCTTGCAAGTCTTACTTTTCTCAGAATAAATTCTTTCCCCGAATGAATCGTCGACTCAGCGATTCACGATAAACAAGAACTTTTCGTTATTTTATTTCTCATTTACCCTAGGGCGTTTTCCATTTCTTGAATTGAATTTTAATTAGAAAATGAATCAGAAAGTCTATTTTCTAAGAAAATGAACTCCGTAATTAATTTTCTCATTTTTAAAATAATTAAAAAAATATTGTTATTGAAAATTAAGACCTTTCTTCATGAATTATCGAGAAACAGTAAATTTTTCACTTTAGAATTGAAGTCGAAAATTCTGAGAATGAATTATTTTCCGAATGAATCGTCGACGCAGCGATTCATGATAAACAAGAGCTTTTCGTTATTTTATTTCTCATTTACCCAAGGGTGCTTTCCATTTCTTGAATTGAATTTTCTTATTTTTAAAATAGTTAAAAAATTATTATCGTTGAAAATTAAGACCTCTCTTCATAAAACATCCAGAAAGCATAATTTTTTTTTCTTCATTGAATTTTTCAGAACATTTTGAACTGTTAGATAAAAAAAATCAATCAGTTTCCAAAGGAATAAACTTCCTAATTCATTCCTAAAATTACTAAAAAATGCTTTTCGAGAAATAAACCACTCTTCATGAATAATCGACAAACAATAAATTTTTTATTCCAAAAATAAAGTCCAATACTCTGCGAATAAATTCTTTCCCCGAATGAATCCTCAACTCAGCAATACCCGATAAACAATAGCTTTTCTTCATTTTATTTCTCACCTCATATCTCGCAAAATTCAACTTAAATACCACAATAACTCCCTCAAGAAATTAAATTCCAATCTCTCTCCGCAATTTCTATTTTCAATTTTTAACCGGAAATATTGTGATTCATTGCACGTTTATTGCTGGAATAAGAAAATTTATTCAGTATAAATTTTCCACAGCAAACGTGATCGTCCATACCCCGTTATTTTCTCAATGAGTATTCCATTTGTATTTTCTCCTTCCATTATTCTCCTTTTATCCCCATCCACTTTGCTCCCAAGATACAAGTCACGTTGCATTCCACCTCTGGCACAAAATTCCCCCCCTAAATCCCCCTCCCAAGATGACAATCATTATCGATTAGATCATCAAGCGTGATACGAGACTTTATCAATTTTGTAACAGCCGAACTGCTACTTCTTCCTCTGTCAATAATTTTTTATTCCTCATCACTCTATTTTTCACTGATATCGTTGACGCCGAGAGAAATGATTCAACACGGTTTATCAATTGCCCCGGACTTATCTCATGGTTATCTGTTTGCTGCTGGCATTAATATCCTCGTACGTGCCTTCTTCAGTGATAAGATAAGGCACTAGATACTGAGGTTATTTTGCGGATACAAATACATGGAGCTTAACTTTATTACTTGGGAAAAGAAATTTTATTCGACCTTGGGGTTGCATTCTGCTGTGGATTCTGGGTCGTCGAACTCATCGAGTGTTTTTATTTCACGTGAAATTGATGTTTTATCTACTCGATGACTTTTTTTATTCACTCGATCATTTCTGAGGGATAAGTTTCATTCAGAATTATCGATTTTGGTGGAGTCTTGTGCAACTGGGTGAAATTCAAAGGAATTTTGTCATTGAAAATTCACAATTTGATGAAGAGTGAATGGAAACTGTAAATTTAGGTTAATTATTCCATGAAAGCTAATGGAAATGAGGAAAATTCAGGTGATTTCATTGAAAATTCAATCATGTTGGGGGAAATCCCATCTTCCTACTGCAGGAAAATTTGTAATTCATAATGTGGAATTGTTATTTCATTCGATGACTGCCTATATTCATTCGATCATTCCTAAGAAAGAACTTTCATTCTGAATTATTGATTTTATTGAAGTCTTGTGCACAATAAATTGACATTACGTAATTTTTTGGCTGAAATTTCTGGGAACTTCATCATTAAAAATTCACAATTTGATTGAAAAACTCAATGGAAACTAAATTTAGTTCAATTATTCCATAAAAGCTAATGGAAATGAGGAAAATTCAGATAGATTAATTGAAAATTCACAATTTTATGAAGAAATCAATAAAAACTGTGAATTTAACTCAATTATTATATGAAAATATAATAAAATCATGTCTTTTTTCCCAAAACAATGCCAATTCCCCTGAAGTGTCACAATCCACGAAAGGGCAAAAAACCGAAAAACAAAGCTCACAAGAAAAATGTCACATGATCTTGGGGATGTGATTCCCGATGTCGTTGACATTCCATTAATTCAACGAGCTCCTCCATTCACTCATCAATCCCCAATGAATACATTCCATTCGGAATGATGAATTTCAATAGTTTTCTGTGCACAACAGATTGACATTGACGAAAATCAATGGACTTGTGGGAATATTTGAGCGATGACCGATTGACAGTATTTCCTCAAGATCGTTAATGACACGAGTGAGACACGAACAAAGACAATGTGGGTTGACATTCGCCCGTACAAACCCGTGGGCCGATTAGCATAGTAATCTTCCTCAACGCGAATACTATAATTAGATTCTCGCTCTTGACGGGCTGCTAAGTGGGATACCCCGAGGCACAGTTGCACATACATACATTAAAACGCATATCCATGAACATTAGTGCCTCAACTTTGTCCCTCACACAGTGCGATAACGAAACTATTAAATTTCCTACTCACGGTTGTTGGCACACTGACAAGTTTCGAAATTATTTATTTATTATTCTCACCCATCGGCCCACGTTTAAATTCCACGCTTTCGTTCAACAATTGTGTGTGTTTATTGTCTCAAGGTCTCACAATGAAATTGAGCATGAAGTATTCATTAACGGCTGACGTTGGAAATGAGTTGTGATGCTTGAGATATTATGAATCAAGATTACGTAGCTGTCTCGTTATTTTTTTTTTTAATGATCGAGGAAAATGTCGGCTTTTTATTCGTCATTCTTGAAATTCCGGTCGTGTTCATTAGGTAGTGAAGATATCAAGTGGATTCATTCGTCAGATGTCATGCCATCGAGCGGTTTATGCTGACACTGCCCCATGTTATTCCACACGAAGTAAAAAAACAAATCGAATTTTATTGAAATTTCAGTAAAATTTGAATTTCATGATTTTTTCCGCTGAATCAAACTCCCCAAATCAACATTTTTATTTTTTATTCAATCTTCTTGAATAAAAAAGGTCTTCTGTTTATGATATGTGGGCGTCCACATGAAAAGGGCCCACTTTGACGGTATTGGAGTTATGTATGTTACGATAATCTTCATCAGATTTCTCACATTTTGAGCCCAAAATCAACCCGATAGAATAAAAACTGATGTCAGTATAGACGATCAAAAAAACAATTTAACATTGGTTTAAATGGGAGATGTGGAGAGAAAAACGTGAATATCTCGGAAACTAGATGCGACAAAGTGGGCCCTTTTCACGTGGACGTACACATATATTGAACATACCAAATTCATTCATCAATCCCACTTCATCAAGCGAATTTTATCGATATTTCAATGAAATTTATTTCATAATTTTTTCCCCGAGTTAAATTGCCCTAAATAAAAAAGTTTATTTTTTATTCATCCTTCTTGAATTTGCAATCGTGTTTACGAGTTACTGAACATATCAAGTGTCTTCATTCATTAAATGTCATGTCATCAAGCTATTTATGCAGATAACTTCCTCGTGTTATTCTCCACAAGTTCCCCAGCATCTTAACGATCCATTGAGATGAAAAAAAAAATCACCATTCATTTTCCTGCTCCTCATTAACCGAACGACGCAGCAAAGAGCGCTCATTTCCTTATTCCCAGTTAATAACATACATCGATGATTGCAGTATTGATTGAAGTAGGTATCTTATGCTCCGCAGAGAAACATGCAGTCTGCCTCAATGGCATGGAACAGTTTTATTCCACTGCCACCACCGGGAAGTAGATCTCATCCATCAGCTCCACCACCCCACAGTGCCCTGACCGGTCACAGTGGACATCATCATCCAGGGGGTGCAACTAGTCACTCGGTGACTGTTGCACAACAGCAACAGCAGCGCGAGAGAGAGGAGAGAGACGCCAGAGAGAGAGAGCGCGATGCACAAGCTAGAGAACGTGAACGTGAGCATTTAGCAGCTGCCGAGAGACTCCACAGACAGGCTGAGGCGAGGGATCACGCGGTTGCACAGCAACGAGCTGCTTATTATGCAGCCACTGCACCATCGACTGCTCAACAGGTCAGTGGACATTATTAGTTTGCACACTGGTGAAAATTTTTCCTTGAAATTTCCGGTACACATCTTGGACAATTTTTATCCCATTACAGTTCCACGGAAATTGCGTGGAATTTTTTCATTGAAAATTCAACATTTCGGGGAAAAAGCAATAGAAGGTGTAAATTTCGGTTGAATTATTTCGTGGGAATTCAGAGAAATCAGGGAAATTCAGGGGAATGTGTAGTTGAATTTTCAGTTAATTGAAAATTTAGCGGAATTTACTATTGAATATTCACGGTTTGATGGAGAATTACGGTAATTTGGATAATTTGCGTCCTCCTGCTGCTCAAAAAATTGAAATTTCATTGGCAGTTCACTGAGATTTGGAATTTCAGACAAATGTAGAATTTCAGTGTAATTTCAATGAAATTCCTAATTTCAATGAAATTTGAAATTCTAGTTCAATATGAAATTTCATTGAAATTCCAGTAAAATTTGGAATTTTGTTGAAATTCGGAATGTCATTGCAATTTCGGTGAAATATGAAATTCTAGTAAAACGCGAAAATGTATTGAAACTCCAGTGAAATGTAAAGTTTCATGAAAATTCCAGTAAAATTTGAAATTTCATTGAAATTCCTGTAAAACTTCCAATTTCCTTAAAATCCCATTTCACTTAAAAATTTCACAATTGTTTCCCCCCCGACTAAAATTGAACGTCCCCCTCCCTAGAGTTAAAACCAAACAGTCCCCGAAGAGTGAAAATACCTCCACCAATGTACTCCCTCGTCCAATCCCCTCAAACGCCGCAGACCCCCTGAAATCACAAATTGCATCCTCAGGTACTGAGACCATCGAGTGTACCAAGTAAAGTCGACTACCCGCCGCCGCCAGCTCATTCGAGAGCCTCAAAAGCCTCTCTCCCAGTGACGTCTCACCACGACAAGCCCCAAGTGGTGGGTCCCCCCCCTCTCCCAAAAGCCGAGCCAAACGTCAGTCTCTTCAACTACTCGGCCTACCAAGCCCAGCCCACCTACATTCACGAATTAAAATCCAAAAATGATCTCCAACACAAAACCCTATCGGGCAAGCCACTGGCCCACGATCGTGACCATCACGGTCGAGAATTACTGCCAAATCCGCCGCCTCTCCTGCCGGACCACAAGAGCTCAGTGATAGTGAAAAACGAGGGTAGAGAGCACCAGAAAGTGCCGCCCCCGCACTCGTCGAGTCCCAAAATGATGTCCTACTTGAATGTCCAACAAGTGGGTCCCCCCCAGTCCCAGCAGCACAAGGGTGTCACCTACGAGTATCGCAGCCCAACGCAGAGCCCCCACCACCTTCATCACCTGGACAATCTCCAATCCAAAGGACTCCCAAGTCACCACAGACAGCCACAAACAGGTCCAACGTTACCCCCAAGTCCCCACCAGTCCCATCCCCACAATCGTCAATCACCCCACGGTCATCCCCACCAAACACCCCATCCATCGCCCCCAGAAGCCCGTTACCTCAGCAGGCCGGAGACCGGTCTTCCCTACGCCCCCCCAAAATCCACCTACTCCTATCCTCATCCACCAAACGCCTCGCCCACCTCTCACTATCCTCCAAATCCCGGCTCAAAACCAAAAGTCAGCAGTCCAGCACCACCTCACATATACGGCAAACCAAATTCTGGAATAATGACTGGTACACCAGTGTGTCGTGCTGAGCCTGTTGTAACAGCAACACCACTACCACTCACCTCAAAAGCAGGTAGTTCGCCTTACCAGCAAGTGCCTCATCATCATGGGGCGCCACATCTACCCCCACCAGCTCACAGCCGAGGAACAGTTTACGATTCGCGTTTTTCAACGTCTCTACCCTCATCAAAATTGCCACCACTACACAGTTCACCACCAGCAGCATCAGCTCCACGACCAGTTGTCACACATCCACATCATATGACACCTGTTCAGCCCATTCATCAAGCCCCAGTGAACACAATGCACACAAATTTTCAGACACAGCCGTTGGATTTGGGGGTGGAGAGGTCTAGTTCACCGAAGAGAAAAGCACCAACACCTGGAGACGATTGTGGACAGCCAGTGGCACTTGAGTGTAAAAAGAGAAGGACTGAGGAGCCACAGCAGCCATGGTCACTGGAGTCTGTTAAGCCAATTATTTTGGCGAGAGTTCACGAGCTCATGCCGTTGATTGCCAAAGCTGCAACTGCTAGGATGACCGATGGCAGTACTGCCTCGGTGCCACAGTCCAATAATCAGGAGCAAACGGTTGTCTCTGTGAGTCCAGCCCCGAGAACAGCCAGTGGTGATGGCTCGGTAAGGCCTGCCAGTGCTGGTAGTGTTGGTTCGTTGAATCCAACGTCAAGTGCAACACCAAGTGCTGCACCCAGTCCAGCACCAGCACCCAGTCCTGTACCACAGGATCCAAGTCCAGCACCCAGTGCTGCATCAGCACCTGGCACACCTGCCAAGGGATGCAATCCAACTAATACGGATAGTGAAAAGTCGAATAGTCCGGCTCCTAGGCCACCGAGTAGAACTAATTATCCTGTTCACAAGCTCAAGAAGGCCTGGCTGCAGAGGCACTCGGGGGAGGACGCCACTGAGGACAATACTGGGGTAGTTGGCAGTGGTTCTTGTGTCACGTTACCCCTCAATATTGCACAAGCACCCTCACAACCGCTCAATAGTAAGGAACGAGAGGGTACGACTACTAGTCTAACAAGTGCCGTTAATTCTATACACAATATCGGGAGTATGGCGGTTAATAGTATAAATAAGAGTAAAGTGGCGGGGAAGAGTGGGAGGAAGGGGGGGAATAAGGAGATCAATGGGCATGGGAATGATGGCAAGGGCTTGCAAGAGGACTCGTCGAGCAGCGATCCAGAGAGGAAGTCGCCGCCCAAGAGGAAACCTCCCAAGGTATCTATTTACACAGACTGATTTTTATTATTTGGGTGTGGTGGGGGAGGGGTTCTTTGGGGCTTCTTTGGGTTGAGGATATTCAAGTACATTTCACATTTTTCGGGATGAAGTTGGTGAATTGCACGGAAATTTCAGGTCATTTTGAAAATTGGTAACTTTTAACGTTTCAGTTGCGAAGCGAAGGGGCTAGTCTGATTTCAATGAATATCTCGGAATCTAGGGCGGATAGGAAATTTTTTGTTGTGACCTTTTTTGCAGAGTTAATTGGGAACTACTGAAAAGGTCATTACGAAAATTTTGATATCTCCCTTGGATTCCGAGATATTTTTCAAAGAGTAGGAGCTAGGTCAACTCAAATTGTTTTACTGCTTTACTACTGACTTCGTTGGGGAATTGAGATTTTTAGGGAAAAGAATTGTGTACTTGGATGTCCTTAGTCTCTGCGGGAGAACAACGAATGCTATGGTCTGATATTGAAGCACGAACAGCTTGAAAAATGCGTGCAAATTAGATTTTACCCTACGATTTTCGAGATAGAGGACAAAATGAACACTTGATTTTCTTGTTTGCAGTGAATAGAAGAATATTCATTATTTCATGAAGAGTACATTCATAATGAAATTTTAAAAAGTCAAAAAGTGTCTACTTTGCGCCATTCTCTACAACATTTAATGATGTAAACCTCTGGAAAAAATTCATCAATGTCTCACAATCAGAAGATGAAAATTGCAATTTTGTCCTGAGTAATAAATGTTGCATTCGAGCATTCTAATCGAAATCTCAAACAGAATAACTCTTCTGTCGGAATGTATTATTCGCAAGTTAAAAAGTATACTATTAAAAAACACGTTCAGACCTCCATTTTTCAACAAAAAAAAATACTAATTACAAAAATTTTTAGAACAAAAAACATTTGTAAACATCTTCTTCAAAAAATGAAAATGTTTAATGCATGACGATATTCAGAATGGTATTTTGTCTTTTTTGTTCATGTAAAGCGTTGATTTGTCGTATGGAATTATACCGAGCTGGTTCTGCACTTGAAATAATTCGGAACTGTCTCAGAAAATAAGACGATTAATTTTGTTCTGTATAAAAAATGTTTTATTCTGAGGCAATGTATTATTCTCAAATTACAAATTATTTTATTAAAAACACCCTCAGACGCCCCTTTATCACAAAAAAAAAAAATTCTAATTGTAAAAATTTGTAGAAAAACATTGAGAAATATTGGCAAATGTTAAAAATGTTTAATGCATGACGATATTCATAACGTTATTTTGTCTTTTTATTCATGTGAAATTATGCCGAGCTAGTTCTGCATTTGAAATAATAGCCTAAAGTATCTATTTCGCATCATTTTCCTCTCTAAAAAAATCACAAATGTCTCAAAAAACAAGACATCCAATTTCCCACAGAATATATCTCCTGCCGACTGCACTATTTTCCCATAAAGACTCCCAATTGCAAAAATTTTTAGGAAAAAAATTTGCAAATATCTTTGAAAAATTGAATGTCTCATACCAGACGATATTTATACCGCATTTTTTTCATACTCATGTGAAATGTTGTGTCATGTGAAATAATGCTGAGCTAGTTCTGCATTTGAATTTTTTCCGCCACAAAATGAATCACTCTCGCAGCGCCATAAGATTTTCTGCCATTACGTTGACGCACGCACTCACGTACACTGTTCAGTGCAGATGGCGAGAAGAAAGTCGTTGTTAGACTCTAGTTTCATTCCCTCAATAAAATCAATCAGTTGTTGCCATTGATAGCAATTTCGATAAGAGACAGATGCTCGAGGAGTTATTCAGCGTTTGTGATAATGGAGTGGTCGAATGAGGTAAAATAGTCGGCATTTTGCGGATTAGTTTGTCCAAGGGGGAATTCTAACCTCAACCCTTTGTCTGAACGCGTGCTCCATTACATCATTCGACGAATTTGCTCGACTCAGAACAAAAAACCTTCACGTTTTAATGCTTTAATTGTTTTATACAATTAGTTTTACCTTTATTGAACGCTAGACATTAGATTGTACAAGAGCATGAACTTCCTGACTACTTAATAATCTGTGCCCTGTGGTAGGTAAAGCGAAAGAAGGGAGCTGGAAGGAGACAACAAACACCGGTGGATGAACAGCGCAGGAGAAAAGAGGATAAACAAGTCAGTGGTGGTGGGGCTGGGAGTGATTCGAGTAATGAGAGTGAGGCTGGCTCAGCGAGTGATGAGAGTGAGACTATTCAACCTACTTCTAAGAGGCACACAACTACAAATTCAAACAATTCATCTGAGAATGGTAATTATCGATATAGTTGAGTAAACATTATTTTCCATTCATTTAGGTCGAGGATATCCAAGAATTTGATCAATTTTTATTTTTTTTTCTCCTGAATTTTTTATTTTTTTATTATTTTACTATTTATTTTTCTCTGAAGTTTTACATGTCTGTAAATTATTTCACATTTGTTATTAATTTATTCATATTTGGAAGGTTCTCGAATAATTTTCATTATTTATCATAAGGGAATGCTTAAACAATTTTTTTTGTTTTTCATTTTTTAACATTTGTGGAAAATTTTGTTTCTAGAAATCTGAACTTGAAACAATTCATAATTTTTTTAAATTAAATAATTGAAGAGTTCCAATTTTTCTTAATTTATACTCCTTTATAAATAATTGATGCACAATTGAATTTTTTATCCCGACAATCATTTTCTCCACTTCATAATAAATTTATTAATATTCAAAAGTTCCTCAATTATTAACAATTTCAGTCATTTATTTATAACAAGAGAATGTCTGAAAATTTCTCAATGCTTGGATTACCTCAATTTTACTTAATGATGTAAACATTTATAAAGATTGAATAACCATGATGTTATATTTTGAGCTTTTTAACCCTGAAAAATTCCCCTCACGTTAAAAAAATTTATTACTCCACACGAATAAATTATCAAGTGTGAAAATTATCTCTTTTCCAATTAGGAAGCAACAAAGAGCCACGTAAGCGTGGTAGACGACCAAAATCATCCAAGGGAAATGACACTGGTGGTGAAGACCAACAGCCACGTCAAAAAAAAGAACGACGCGACGAGAGCACTGGCAGTGGTGGTGATGGACAAGATGGTGACAAGACAGATCCATTCTACAAACCATCAATTCTCGAGTTAAAGAGAACTGGCGACAGTTGGCTACAGGATAATTCGTGCTTCACTGTTGCACCGAGATTAGTAAAGTGTCGTGAGTGCAGAATGACACCAAATCAACGACTGAAAACCCAACTACCGAAGAATATATTCTGCAGATTTTATGCATTTAGGAGATTGCGATACATTAAGAGTCAATTGGCTATTGCTGGTTACAGTGATCCACACAAAGATGCCTCTGAGGTTTGTCATTGTAATTTTTCAATTACAGTTGTTCAACACTTGTAATTTTCCCCTCCAAATATCATTTTTTGTAAGGAGAATGGATATAGTAATTGGTGAATTCATTACATTTTTTCATTCTTTTTTATTTTCATTTAATGTGATGAAAGAACAATAATTGTGATTCATCTTAATGACATTCTAAAAAATGGCATATTTTTTTTTTCTCTTAAAAAACATTCCCTCAAAGTTTTTAGTAAAGAAATAAATTGAGTATTTTATTACTTCAAGAGTGGAACGTCCAAACTAAATACATGGAGTATTAAATAATGAAGTATTGCTTGTTACAAATATTTTTGATTTTATGAGGAGAAAAAACATTTTGCTTCATCTAATAACATTAAAATAAATGGCATAAGCGTTCACTAAAAAATCAAATACCATCGCCTAGAAATATCTATACTTAAGAAAAATTGCGTATTTGTTCCCTTTGGAGAGTGAAATAACAGAATTAAATGAGGAAGTTGATCCTTTTCATTTCGATAAGAACTTGCTGACGGAAACGTCGCGTAATTAAAACCGATAATGCAAAAGTCACGTGCCATCCATTTTCTCCTTTCATTCGCATTGTTCCGAGTGTGAATCATTTGTAATACTGTTACGTAATGTAATATGGATTACATTTGTGAGTGAATACTAAACAGTAATGACATAATATTCCAGGATGACCTTCGTCTCTGGCTGCCTGGTAATCACGAGCCTTCGGCCAACAGCAAGGACGAAAAATCGGAAAAGAATGAGGACGAAAAACCAGCGGATAAACAACCGTTGGATCTCGAAATGGCGTGCAGACTGTTGAGGCAGGTCGGCGATCAATTTTGTGATCTTCTTCATCAGGAGAAGAACGCACTGCAGGAGCACATGGCCGAAGGTAATCATCAAAATAAATTTAAATCTGAACAAAAAACATCAATTCCCTTAATTTTTATTTTATTTACCAAACGACGAGCATAAGTTGATAATCATTCCATTTTATTAATTTCAATTATTCAAGCCATTTTACATTCTGACTTTGATGTTCTTGATTCGATGCTTCCTGAGTTGGAAATTAATTATTAGTATTATTTTATTTAAGTTTATTTGGTTCGCATGAATTAAATGCTTTTGTTTTTCCCCCAATTTGTTAATTGGAAACCTCACAGCGAGTTCGGGGGTTGTAGACGGAACAGTTGCTTGGAAACGAGTCATTCAGGGAGTTCGAGAGCTGTGTGACGTGTGCGAGACAACACTTTTCAATTATCACTGGACTTGTGGCCGATGTGGTTTCGTCGTATGCATTGATTGTTACAAGGTAATTCATTTTAACATTCTTACTTCATATCTTCGGATATTTAAATACAGAATACAATGATCGAAGGTTGAGGATATCCAAGTGTTTTGAGGATTTTTTTTGGCGGTAAAATTCTTTTCAACATTTCCGAAAATTTATTTGCCCAGAAAAAGAATAAAAAGGCTTTTATGAGAAAATAAACTCCCAATTCTTATTCATAAAATAATTATAACAATCATAATGAATCATCGAGAAACAATGAATTTTTTTCTCTAAAAATCATTTTTCCAAATTCGTAATAGAATTTTTGAATTTAAAATGCTGGAAGGATTTTATTTAGACAAAAAGTAAAATTTTTGAAAATTGAAATAATTTTTACGATTAAATATTACTTTGAACACGAAATGAATTGTAACATTGAAAATAGAATTTTAAACCTCAAAAGACGAAAATAAAATTTACTAATATGGAAATTTACCATAAATTATTCACAAAAACTAAAATGTTTGACGACACTTGGATTCCTCTGACCCCAAAATGATGCATAAAACTACAATTGAAAAATCATGATAATAAAATCACGAGCTTTTTAACACTGAAAACGTCCCCTCAAACCCTCAAAATAACCCCAAAATCGGCAAAAAAAATTAACCCAATCAATTGCAATTCCCCCCAGGGCCGAAAGGATGGAACAATAAAGATCTGGGGAGAAGGTGGAAAGGGTCGTGACGATTTCTCCTGGCTGCTCTGCACAAATCGTCAGGTTCACGAGCCAGAAAGACTGATGCTTACCCAAATGATAGCTGGTGACAGTCTAACAAAAATCGGTCACATGCTCCACGAGGCACGTGCCGAGTGGGGAATCCCCCAGCACTGTAGTTGCTCAATAGCAAAATCAACAACAGCCCAGTTGAACGACACCCTCCGTAGTCTGGTTAAAGGCGAGACCGTGACCCTTAACGGCAGTATAAAGCAGGAGATGAAAGACGACAAGAGAAATCAAAACGACTCCAACGGAGGATCCGATGCTAAGACAAACGGTGAGGACAAGAATTCCCCCTTAAATTGGCTAGCTGACGTTGCACTGCAGAATCAAGATAAGAACGACAGTGGCTCGAGTTCAGATTCCGACGAAGATCGTGATGGAAATTACTCGACACTGAGGGAACTGCTCATCAGACCCTCACACAAACCCAATGGCAGTGGTTCAAGATCAAATTCCCCAACGAATTCACCGGGGAACACGAATCAAACTGGCAACACAAGTCAAAATAGCACGATAAAAGCAGGAAAAAAATCCAAGATGGACACGTTGGACGAGGTAATCTCCAGTGTTATCGAGCACAGTGTTAAGAAGGAGAAAGACAGCATTGACAATGACGACAAGCCTCGAGAGCTGAAGCACTTTGTACGAAGGTACAAGTGGACTCAGCACGGTCGTGAACCCCTGCCAATCAGAATAATGACACTGACTGAGAGCAAAAGTCTGTACCCAGATGTCCCCCACTCGTGGTTGTGCGATGGTAAACTACTGAAGCTCAACGATCCCCACAACATCAACAACTACAGGATATTCCAGGATCAGTGGAAGCGAGGACAGCCAGTAATTGTGTCTGATGTTGCTAAATCACTTGACATGGAGCTCTGGCATCCGGACGCCTTTGCACGAGACTTTGGTGACGAGAAGAATGATCTTGTCAATTGTATGAATGGCAATCTCGTGCCAAATCAGCCGATGAAAAAATTCTGGGAGGGATTTGAGAATTTTTCAAAGAGGCTGAAGGATGACAAGGGCAATCCAATGCTGTTGAAACTCAAGGATTGGCCCCCAGGCGATGATTTCGCTGAACTCTTGCCCTCTAGATTTGCTGATCTCATGAAAGTCCTGCCATTGTCTGAGTACACACATCGCGATGGACGTTTGAATTTAGCCAGTAGGCTTCCATGCTGCTTCATAAGACCTGATCTTGGGCCAAAAATGTACAATGCCTATGGCTCAGCAGTTTACTCCAACAAAGGCACTACAAATCTTCATCTAGACATTTCGGACGCTGTCAATGTTATGGTTTACGTGGGAATACCACAGGACAGCGATAAAGAGCAGCACATTGCTGAGGCACTGAGGGCCATCGACGAGGCTGGCTGTGATGTATTAACAAAACGTCGTGTACGCGAGAGGGGCGAGGCACCTGGTGCACTGTGGCATATTTATGCAGCACGCGATGCCGATAAGATCAGGGATTTACTGAATGCCGTTGCTATCGAGAGAGGTGCACGACTCGAGCCACATCACGATCCCATTCACGATCAGAGCTTCTATCTCGATGGCAAATTGAGAAAAAGACTTTACGAACAGTATGGCGTTGAGGGTTATGCTGTTGTCCAGTGTCTTGGTGATGCTGTCTTTGTGCCAGCTGGTGCACCACATCAAGTCAGAAATCTTCATAATTGTATTAAAGTTGCTGAGGACTTTGTGTCACCTGAAAATGTTTCACACTGTTTTCATCTTACTCAGGAGTTTCGAGCACTGTCTGATACACATACTAATCATGAGGATAAACTACAGATTAAGAATATTATTTATCATACTGTTAAGGATGCCCTTACGGTATTGGCTAATGCCAAGGAGGAGGCAATCTCGAAGCTCAAGGGAAAGGTCGAGGTCAAGGAGGAGACGTAGTTGTTGGGCCGATGATTATTGGAGAAATATTCAGTGTCAGGTTGAACTGACTTTTATTTCTTGTTTGATGAATTACAAGAAATTTGGTGTTTGGAGGTGGAGGGGACTTGAGGGGTCTCTGGTGGTGCTTCAAACACGTGGAGGGGATGGAATAGGCTACGACGTGGGACATTCAGGTGAATGGATTTGTTTTTCCATTGGGAGAGGACCACGCGCCCTAGTTTGTTGTGATATAAATATTTGACGAGGATTTAATTAGTGGAAGTATCGATTTATCATTTTTTTTCTCTCATTTAAAAAAAATTTCGATATTGGCTGAGCCAATGGCGGTTACACGTTGTTTATCCGTTCGGTTATCTCTTTCACCTCGAATATTATTTTTCAGCAGAAGGAAGAATTCAATAGTTTTTTTTATAAGAACATTTTTTTCCTTTTTCATTTATGGTTAAGGACAATGAAGTCCCTGAGATTTATCACCATTTTCTTTAGTTAGTTTTTCTTTTTTTAATGTGGATTCGAGGGGCTCTGGCCGCTGTCCGAAATATTATTGTGATACCAGAGGGTCTTTTGGATCATAAAATCATTTGTAATTAGTTATATCGTGCCTGTATCCAATACACACTGTCTATTCTATTATAATTGTAGATAAATGATTTAATTGTAGTTGTAATGATAATGATGATATTGTAATAAATTCCTTATGGTTGATTATGGAAGAGAGTGTGAAAGTGTGTACAGATTAATGAACTTTGTGCAATTTGACGTTGTTTACCATCGTATTGCCCTGTTGGACTTATTCAATATGAATGAATAAATAAATCCGTGTGACTGTCAGATTAAATTTTCATTTGGGTGAATTTTTTGGGTTTTGAAGAAACATAATGTTGATGAACACTGCCTCTAGATGGAAAATTCACGTCCAGACAATTTTCGGTTTATTCTCAATTTTTTTTAACTACTTGTGAACTTAATTAATTGGGGATTACATCTGGTACATGACAAAATGCCGTCCTTACTGAATCTGGACTTGTGTTTATTTTTTATCATTTTGAGGCACAACTTTGGAAGACATTCGTTTTATCTATAGTTATCGCTGTACAACGGGCTTTATGTTAATGTAAAAATTATGAAATTTTCGAAGTGCCAATGTTGAGCAGGGGTGGTGCTTATAGTCATTGATAAATTATTGAGGAGGGAAAATGTATCGACGTAGATTAGTCGTAAAGTGGAAGTGAATGCCTGGGGCTGAGTTCCTACACATTTTTCCTTTTTCACGTGGGTGATAGCGTTAGAGTGTACTTTAGGCTCAAACTTTTCGTGGGGGAATTGGATCTGTGCTCAGTGGGTCACTAGAGAAAATTTTCAAAGGCACATGGCACGGCTTGGGGCAAGACGGGAGCTTGTGACTTGCAGATTTTCATGTCATGGAATTTTTGAGGGAGTGGAGTTTCGTGGTGACCCTAGACTGAGCTCAATTAATCAATTTCCTGAGTTATGGACATTGAGAAAAAAGTCACAAGTGCCCGTTGTGCCCCCCATTCTGTGCTGCAGGTACGATTTTTCGGTTTCGTTGATCTCAATTATTTTCTAGCGAACACAACGAGTTGATTCAATTGATTTTTAATGAGTGATTTTTCGAGTTTCCCCCTCTTTGAAACGTACGTTTGATGAAATTATACGAGTGGAGAGTCGATACGTGTGTATAAAGAATTTTAGGAGGAAAATGGAGAGATTGAAACAACATAATTGGTGTATTGTCATCAGCAGCAGGTAAACTCATTGTTTTATCGCTAATTTCTGTAAATACTGCGAGAGTGAGGAGTACTGTGTTTATGAGCATCGATATGTATACTATACATATATAAATATGAAGATTAGGGTGTAAGGTTTATGTACACACTCCAGTCAGTGAGGATCGAGGGAATTTATGAAAAAAAAATTAGTAATTTAGACGCGTCTTTAGATAGGTTTATTGTCATTATCATTCTTAATATAATCATTATCACGGTTTCATTAGAGAAAACAAAACATGATATTTAAATGTTGCTGATTATGTCGAGTAGGGGATGAAAAATGTGGAGTAGAAAAGCAAAAAAAAACGAACGTCAGTCAGTTTTATTGTCAACTGGGGAAAATAATTGAGTGTTTGGATGTTAAATAAATGGAGTACGTGAGTGTGAATAGGTAATGAGTGATTGGGGGTAACGGGGGGTCACGAGAGGCGGGGGGATTGGAATTACATATGGATTAAGGTGTATAGTGTGTACAGTCTAGGGAAAATCGTAATTAAATGAGTTAGAGGAATAATGATTACCTATTGCCCAGTGTCCTGGATAACCATCGGCCGACCCTTTCTCAAAGTCACGGCAGTTATGATAACCGCGGGCCGGCGGAGGTTTGAGTATAATTTTTTGTACTGTGTAAATGTAAGAATACGTTTGAATAAGAAATGTTTATATTATAATGCATATCTTATTTATTTCAACGATACCTTGGCCCATTTTTTTTATTCTGTTCGGTAACTATTCCATTTTTTGAGTTGATTGCTTCATCCGGGATTGGAAAGGGAATGGGGTAAAATGGACTTTTTTTTAATATAACACTTTGAGGGTTTAAAGTCAATTCTCTACTTGAAAAATTGGGAATTTTTTTTTATTAGAACTCAATTGTTGAGTTGATAGAGAATCAATTTTCCATTCTAAGAACGATGAGATTTCCGAATGTCTGAATGTCTGAACAATTTTTATTATTTATTCATGAGACGGGATTTTATTAAGAAAGAAGTAATTTTTCAGAAATTTACATGACGCAGGTATTCACAAGTTTTCGTTGCAGTATAATTGACAAATGCAATTATTAAAAATTCTTATACCTTAAAAAAATTCAATTATTTAATAACAATAATTATTATTCTTATTATTACTACAATTCAAGTTCTTCAAATTTCATTCTATATTTAAAAAAACATTTCAAAAGATAAAAAAATAATTGAAAACCTCGACTCAACGTCAAAAATTTTTTTAAAAAATCCACAATTTATTCCCAATAAAAACGTCATAATATTTCAATAAATATCCCCCCCACCCTATCACATTCCTAGCGCCACTCCTCGCGCACTCGTGTTCTCCACTCCAAGATGGCCGGAGCAGTTGTGTCTCGTGCATATCACGAATCCCCAATCTGTACGTGAAAAAAAAATGTTCCTTAATTAGTGTCGCACGTCCCCCCGCGAGTTTCACTCGAAAATTCCGAGAACAAAACCTCCCCGGGATGGCAGTGTCGGTGAACGGCTTCCAATCCCCCCAAAAGTGTCGAAAGCTCCGAGTATTTAGGTGAGTTGTTGTTGTCGAAAGCTTGCCAACCGTGTAATTTGACACATCCTCCCTACGCGATGAAAGTTTCCAATCGAAATCGAAGTAGTGTCGTTAGAATTCCTGTCTCTTCCCATTGAATCATCACGCGCATTGTATGATAATGAGCCCAAAGCACACCGGAAGTTTCAAGGCTCTTGGAAGTGGATAGACCGCTGAATAATCCACCTCTCGGTTCACTCCAAATGCGCCAGTCCAACTGGTTTCGGTGCAGCATTTTTTTTCATACTCAATTCCCCGGAGAAACTCGTTTTAATCCGCAATTTATGCGGTTACAATTCCAGTGAAATGATCTGATATTTCGGGTGTGGATCGCTTGAGTCATGGCCAGGAGCCAGAAATACGGCAACGAAACGCTGGACGCGTTGAACAAAGGCTGCTTGGATACCTACGATGCTGTTGCATGTGGACGTATCAGTATACTCGTTGTTATTAGTGCAGTAACTTGTTTCTTTGCTGTACTCAAGATTGTTAAGTACCATGCCTACAAGCACCCGCAGATGCATCACTACGTTATTTTTTATGTGTCTGTCATCCAGTGTTTTGTCTGGTGAGTTGATTACATTTGAACAATACACAGTGTTGGATGAGCATTTCAGATTTCACCGAAAATTCAATGAAATTCAGTGGAATTCGGAGCAGCAGGGAGACGAGAATTCCCCAATTTATTTGGATTTTCAATGAAAATATTACTATTCGGTAGAAAATTACGCAGAATGTCCAATCAATTTTTTTGTATTGTGCTCAATTATGGATATCCAAGTACTTTGGCTATTTTAGAAACTTTACTTTTGGAGCAAGATTGACGAAATAATTTAAAAATTGACATTGTTTTAAATTACGAGCCTGTTCCATACATAATTTATGAATAATCAATTTTCTAACATTAAAATCATTTGTTCGGAATCGTAACAAATTTATTCACATTCAGAATTTTGCCAAAAATGAATTTCATGTCTAAAAAAATTAGATTTCCGAAAGTTTAAACAATTTTAATTATTTATTTATAAACAACGAATATTTAAAATAAATAATTCTGTGCGAAATGGACTTTGAATAAAACTGAATATTGACGATTTTTTCCAAATTACTCTCAGGCAATTTAATTGACAAATTTGATGGTTGAAAATTGTCAAATAAATAATTTTCAATACCTGGATCCTTGCATATCCTTAATTTGAAATTGAAAATTACATCTCCCGTAATTCTCCCGATCTCCATTAATTTTCATGGAGTAATTGATTGATGAAGTAACACCAGTGATAAATTTCCAGTGCTGCCAGTGCAGTATTTGGCATTCGTTACCCCCAACTGGACTTTGCTCCGAGTTTCCTGAAACTCCTGCAGTTCATTCTGATCTGTCATCTCCACTGGTCAGTCGCTGCCAGGTCCAGACATAGGGATGACATCGTTCAGCACGTTGTCAATCCCGTATTGTGTCTTTACATGTTGTACTGCACTACTGTTGTCCTCATGGGCATGGTGGACATCAGTGGAACATGGACAGAGTGTCTACGTGAGTGGAAGACGCATTCTAAATTTATTTTGTTTAAAACTACAGGGACAACATGACAATTTCAATCCTGTTGACTTTGCAAAAAATTTGTCCCTTTCATTAGGCAATTCAAAACCTGTCCCGAGGTTTATCCACGGATTATGAAAATGCGCAGTGTAAATTACTTTGAAGACATCAATCGAATGTCAAATCATTTTGTTTAAAGAATAGACTCACGACTTCAGGAAATATTTATTCTTCAGGAAATACCTCTGAATAGGTGAATTGTAATGCTTTTTATTGACTCGTAGAATAAACGGTTCTGCCCAAAAACAAATTAAGTTAATACGAAAATCATCATACGATATCCACAATTAAAAAGAAATTAAAATCTCAAATTTCCCTGATAATTCCGTACAATTTCAAATTTTTTATCCACAGGAAGACAAATATTATACCAAATAACGCTGAATTGTCGCTAAATTAAGCTCCGAGAATATATTTATCAAAATTTTCTTGATTTCTACACAGTTGCATTGATTTTTTCATCAAATAGTGAGTTTTCTCCAACAAAAATCCTTGAAATCTCACATTAATGTAATTTTTCTCTCATTTTTGCGGTGAACAGTGTCTTTTATATTCCTCATTTTATATTCCTCACCACAAAAATAGCGTCACAACATTAAATACCGCGAAGATAATTTAAAAATCAAGCATATTCTCCATCTCATCCTCAAGAAAACAATTCAGCATTTTACAGGAGACAACAGCCCCCTTGAGCCCCACCTAAACCCAACAAGCCTCATGTCTCGAATTTCTAGGTCCCTACTGGCTGATGCTGTCAAGCGCAGACTTCCTCGCCGTCCAAGTGTTCGCAGTAGTGGCTCTGTACCTCACCCACAACAGCGAGCACACAATATCCACCTTAATGCTACCAGCCGTGAGTTCACAAACGCGAGACTTGTGGCTCGTCACAGCTGTTTACGAAGTTTCAGCTGTTGTTTCAGTTGTTTTTGACGCAGTAATGTCGTTCATGGGTAGAGAGGAGTCTGGCTGCAGTGGAATCTACGGGCATGTGCAGATTTACTACAGCCTGGTCATGTCCACTGTCCTAGGGCTCAAGTATTTCCTGCCCATGTGGACACTCCTCTGCGTTTTCCAGCCGTCGAGGGTGAAATCGAGGCCCTCAGAGGTGGCACTCACCTCGCATTACAACACTGATGGCACCTGTTACAATCAGTACAGGAGAATGTTCTTTAATCAGAATGGAAATCCTGGGAATGTCCAGTATCCGGCCATTCCCTACCCCTCGGACTCGCCCATTTACGGCAGTTTCGGTGACTTTTCTTACACTGACAGCTCGCCAGACATCTCCCCGAGCATCGGACGCTACTGGCCTGGGATGGAGGACGAGAATCAAGGGTCCTACGAGAAGCACTTCGTGAATGATGGGAAACAAAACCTGGAGACTCAGTATCGCATCGATCAGAATCGTCAGAATCTCGAGAACAGTCTCAGGATGCACGAGGCTGATGACAAGAAATCCCAGAAGAATAATCTTACTACGATTAATGAAGAGACTGGAAACATGATGGAGAGCCCACGAGACTGACGATCATTCTAAGGAAATTCCAGCTTTTCGAGGTTGATATTTGTTTGTGGTAACTACGTGTAGGAAATATTGCGTAGAAAAACCTAGCGGATTCGGGAGGAAATTCCTTTCTTTTAGCTTTAATACAAATGTTTAATGGAATATTTTTTATGGAAGAAAATCAGGGGAATTTGTTTTTGTCGTAGAAGTTTTCTAATGGGGTATTTTCTGTAAAAATTCCTCGATGTAAATTTTATGAGTTTTTTTTCGATTGATTTTTTAGGGAAAAGAGAAGAAAAATTGAGTGAAAAATGGGAAAGTCAGGTCCGCGAAATCCAATAGAAAATGTCTCAATAGATAAAATTGTATCGGATGAAATTCTCCTGATTTTATCTGTAAAAAAATTCATAGAATTCATTTTTTTACCTAAAACTCATTCTGTTCAGATATTTGTCATTGAAATTCCTCGGCTAAAATTTTCCAAGTTCCTTGTTTGATTTTTTAATGAAAAGGAAAGAATAATGAGTGAAAAAAAGAGAAACTCACGTCGAGGATTTCCTACGGAAAATGTCTCAACATAAAAAGTTGTAGAGAAGAAATTCTACTGATTTCTCAAATAGTTTCTATTAGAAACTGCAATTTTTCAACAGAATCGCCCGAAAGCTAATAGAATTTTCAATAGAAGTCCAATAAAAATCGACTAGAATTTTTTATCAAACTCGCCAGGTTTTTCTATGAATTTTTTTAGGTCTAGGAGAAATGATCGCTTGATACTTTCTCGACGCTGAGTCAGATGATAAACAGGAAATGCTTCTGTGATCCTACTGACACCAATAACGCAAGTTTCTCAGATCAATAATCATCGGTTCTTTAGTGAAAAGAATTCAAGAGATAACCGATGGCTGTAATAACAGCCTCGTTATCATTTATCATGAGTGACGGAAAATTTATTAATAAATTATTAACGATTTACATTAGAAATGCTTGAACGAATGCTAAAAATGATGATTTAGTATTCGGATTGTTCGAACGATTCCAATCGCTGGAATAATTTACTCGAAAAAAGAACAAATTGCATTCACAAAATTGCTCACAATATTCTGGAATCGAATCAAACTCATGATCGATTACTGAGGGCTGTAATGATCGCCTCGTTATCATTTACCATAAGTGAGAGAAAATTTAGTTGCATAATGGAGAAAATCAAAGAGCGAAATTTTGAGGACTTGCTTCATTTCCATTATAATTGAATTGTATTGAGAACTTGCATTGAAAATACTTGAAGGAAAGTCACAACTGATGTTTGTATTCATAACGAATTAAAAGTTTGAAGTACTCAAACAATTCCAATCACTCCAACAATTAACTCAGTAAATTATCTCCTTGAATTATTTCAATGCAATTCTTCAAAAAATAAATTCCATTCGTAAAATTGCTCACAACATTCTGGAATTCAGCCAAACCATTCTCCCAAATTCAATGAATTGTTTGTCGTTCCTACACGATAGGGAGATTATAATCATACGTATAAAATACAAATAATGTAAAGACTGGTCGCAGTCGATGGCAATAGACGTAGGCTAATGTGCGTCGTGCCAATTTCATAAGACTGTATTCGTGGAAATTCACGTTAGCGAGTCAACGTCCTTGTTTATCGCCATTACCAGCATCTTTCGATGATCTTCATCACAAAAAAAACATTTTAACATAGTTGAAATACAAAGAGAGCAACTGATCAAGGATTGAGCAACGATGAGTGAAGAGACCAGGGATTCCCACACCCTGATGATGGAGCAGCTGTTTTTTATGATAACACTGAAAGATTTTACATGGGACGATGCAACCATCCTTCCAAATGCTGTGATGAGAATTAATTTATCGAATGAATTGAACATTGTAGATTTATAGATATTCTATCACCGACATTTCTTCTTTCATTTTTCATATTTCTTGGGGGAGTGGGGCATCAATACTTTTGATTTATTCAATGTCAAGGACTCATTGAATCGCTGATGAAGTTGGATTTTTTTTTCTACGAAAAGTAATTTTTTTAAATTAAAAGTTTGGAGTGCTGATTCGTTTCTGCTCTCTAATTTCTGGTTTAGGTGGGGTGAACAGGCCAATTCCTGGACGGCTAAGGGAAATTCGAGTTTGGTAGGAGGATCTAAAATAAAATAATCACCTGAATGGTTATTTATATTGAGAATAATCCCGGTTCCCCTCCTACCGCATCCAAATCCCATCCAATCATTTCCTATGACGTCACGAAGATGTGGAAAGCTATATAAATTCCCTTCTTTAATTTAAAAAATGCGTGACCCTTATTCTGACCCTCGTGACCCTCATTCTGACCTTCCTGAATTTTATTTTGACCCTTGCAACCCTTAACTGTGGAGTTTTAATTTCAAGTACCAAATTTTTATCATCAGAAGTTAATTGGGATTTTTATAATATAGAAAGATATTGAATGCGAGTTGAAATCGTCCAGAAATTGAGCTGTTTACTCTGCCATTGCAATTCTCATTGATACTCATACACATACACTCGAATTATTCGCAGTAGTGGTAAGAATCACTTATAATAGAGTGATAATCTCATTATTGTAGTGGATATTTACAACGAAGTTAATCTCAGTAGAGAATTCCTAAGGATCAGCTACGGCACATCACATTTATGATATTTCTCAACGAGTTGAGATGCATTCTGGCGCTTTTTTATCGTCTGGAATGCTCTCTTCTGTCCGAGAGTACAAGAAACTAGCTATTTTATTTTAATCAAGTGTTTGAGTGAGAAACTAGGGAGATGTTGCAGAACATGATTTATTTGTTTGCATTTGCCACTTATCTGAGTGGAAATATTCAAGCACTGGTCGTGAGAATTTTATATAAGACAATGTGCCAAAATTTTCAATATCGATTACGATAAATCACGTCGAGAGTGCGAGGAGAAATTGATTGACTTTACTTTGCATTTTGTATTTTAAATCACATGAAATTGTTATATTTTTTTAACCATCCAGAGAGTCTTTTGAAGTGTAATTGACGCATCACTTTGTGTTATATTTTATGGATTTTGTAAATATAATGTTTGATTGTTGAATTACGTTATACAGATTCGAGTTTACAACTGTAATGATATTTGACTAGAGGACAAACCGAATATTCGGGGTTTCTGTAGGCGTAGGAATGCATTGTTGTACTCAATCTGCGTAAATGTTTCGTTTATACTCATAATTTGTACATAAATCTTCGTAAGAATTTAATAAACGTATATTGCACGGTAGACTTAAGTTACTCAGAGTTTATTTCATTTATTTCTCTTCTGTTGTACAGGAATTCAATTCGTTATTGAATAATTGAAGTGTATTAATGTGCATTTATAACGCCTCAATACAGTATTAAATGGAAGAACATTATTCACTATTTTAATAATCAATAATGTTCTTTGGTAATATTTTTACAATAATTTCCATTGCTTCAGGATTTTCTGTCAATTAATTTTTTTATTTTTAATCTTCATTTTTTGCCGACACCTGTTGCAGTGAATCAAATTTGTATGTTAAATCAAATGGAAAAATTAGAGTTTAATGAAAAATATAAGATACGTATTGGGAAAAATGTGTAATGCAGATGTTTTAAATCGTTTATACAACTCCTTAATCTACCGAATTAACGAAATTTGACTCAATTTTTCGGAAAAGATCTTTAATTTGATTTAAGGGAAAAAAGTCAATGGAATTTCCAGTTCTTCTGAAAATTCAAGTAAAGTCCCAATTTTTTAGCAGCAGAAAAACCGAAATTCCACAATTTACATGAATTTTCAAACGAGAATGAATATTCACTGCCAAATTCTCTTGAATTTTCTGAAATTCCTTTTAAATTCAGACCAATCTGAAATTCAAGGAGAGAGTTCTCTGAATATTTCTAATTTTTCGTTCATTTCCCCGGAATAATTAAACTGAAGTCCACAGTTACCGCGGATTTTTCCACGAAATTATGAATTTTCAAAGATAAAACTCCGTCAAATTACAGTGTGCAACATGCTATATTTAATATTTATATTCAATAAGAGAAAAAATAAAGCTAATTTTCCTGAAACATTGAGATTTCAATAAAAATACTGATAAATTTAAATAAAAATCAGACCTCCCTATTTTCTCAAAATAAGAAAATATGCGTCTGTCATTCCGCATTAAAAATTGACATTCAATACGGCAAGTCTACGCAAACACTAATTTCGCTGTTTAGCAAGCGGGAAACTTCTAGAATGCATTCAACCCATCCGCTTATCGGAAGTAACTCCAAGGGGAACAATAATATTTTCTCGCGATTACGCACTTGGTGTAATCGTTGTTAGTGATTATACAAGTGAAAATATTGAAAAAATACGATAATTCGCCCTTGGGAGGTTGAGGTGTTACCACTGGCTTAAAATGCACCTCCGAAAATGGAAATAAAATAAATAATCAATGCTGTCCAATTGTCAGCAAGTTTTCCACACTTCCAAAAAAAAAATAATAATAAGCTTCATTCGTTCTATTCAGACGCATGAGTAATGGGGCTAGTGTGGGATCGTTAGCATGCGAGTGAATAATATTAATCAGCAGTCGAGTTGAAGAGGATAAAGGACAAAAGAAATTAATTCGAATGAGCCTCAGACACTACCAAACTGAGGTAATTTACGCCGATTATAACAGATGTTGACATGAGCCACTGGAGGAGGATAAAGTATGACAAACAAGTCTTCCTTGTGCCCAAAAAATTGTTCAAAATAAATTATCGATAAAAAAAAAGATGTTTTGTGACATAAAATTGTAATCGCAAAAACAGGTTCCAAGTTGACTTAGCTTTTACCTGAGTTATCGAGGAATATCTCAGAATCTAAGGGAGATGGCAAAATTTGCGTGAAGACCTTATTTGCAGAGAGAATTAAGAGCTACAAAAACGCTATAACAAACATTTCGCTATCTGCCTTAGATGTCGAGATATTCACTGAAAACTGACCACCAATAGTCGCGATTGACTTGAACTGTTTTGTTTTTGTCGGAGAGAATTCGACAGTAAATAGAGTTGAAGAGAAAACTTCACTTAAAAACATGTTTCAACACCGATCGTGTCAATTTATCATTCTGAAGAAGAAATGAACTCCCGGAAGAAATACATAGAAGCGCAGTTCATCCAGTCTATCTAGCGAAATTCGATCGATAAATAATCATGAGCAACACTAAAGACGGGACTTCATATGGCGTTCCACATATTGTGACGTCACAGGATATTGTTGGATAAGCACGTGCGTGAATAAATTCATCGTATCGTACGATACTCGAAATTTTCTTGAGTTATTATCAACCGCGATGAACCCACAATCATATCTACACTTCCAAAAACAGTGATTAATGCTTTTTCAGCTGATAAGTGAACACGTTTCGATATTATCGCGAAGAAACTATTGGATTAAAAATTATTAGTAGAGAAATTTCATTCCAGAAACAGTCGAGCCTAAGTTACATTCAGAGAAAGTGTCCATTCGAATATGTAATAAAGCTTTTGTTCCAATGCAAGCCCGATTTTTATTTATTCATTTATTTTTCTTACGAAATTCATTGCAAGTTCGAGAATTTGGAGCTGATCGCCCGGATTTTTATTTACGTTTTTATTCGCGTGAAATAAATAGTTTTCCAAGTACAAACAAATACATTTTCATCCAAATAAAACCTCAATTACTCAGAAAAAAAAATTATTAACGCGAAAAATATTAAAAACAATTTCAAATGAATAGTTTTATTGAATTCGAATGCTTCAATTCCTATTATAATTTAAAAAATTGAAGTAGCAGCTCTGAATTCCCAGTGCCTTGAAAAATAGGACACTGTCTGAATTTTCCATGTCGAATCCCGGAAATTTCAGGTCATCTTGTCACTGAAAAATCAAATATCCTATTGATTTAAAAAAACCAATAAAACACTTAGTTCTTCAGTTCAATGATTCCTTCAAAATTCGGAAAAATCTGGAAAATTCAGGGAAAAATTGAAAATTTACGTCACGTTGTTTCTGCATATTCATGTTCCATTGAGAATTAAATCAACTTGTGAAATTCCGGTCTCACTCCCACTGAAAACTCACGGATTTCCTTGAATTGTACCTCAAAATTAAAATTTCACAATCATTTTCCCCCTAAATCGGATTCACTGTGACTACCACATTTTCCCCGAAATTTCGATGAATTTCCAACTGTGAAAATAACAAATCCGAAGCCCCATCGTACGACGTTATCCCCTCCCCCGGCAAAAATCCAGAAAACATTTCCCCAACCGCAACAACAGCAGCGCATGTTTTCCATGAAGAGATGCATCATGCGTCTATTTGCCCCAATTAATATCAAGGGAAAAGCGTTCGAAACAAAATACGTATTTCAGTACGTTGGTGAACGCAACCCCTTATCAATCTCCTCATTATCATTTCCACAATTTTTTCTGTTTTAATTATAATGTAACCCGCGTCCCCCCGCCCCCCTTCGCAATGGGGTATTGATTCCCCCTTCCCCCCTCGATTTTTCTCCTCTCGCCAATCATTTATTTATGCGATACCTTATCTCGCATACGTCAAACATGTTCATCTTGTCAAACCCCTTCAAGTGGGGATTGACAACTATATTCCACTCTACATTCATTAGACAAGAGCTATCAATCCCAAAGTCTTGAATTCTCGATTCACTCCTCAGTTCAATACTGACAAAATAGATACGTATCATAAATTTGTTCAATTACCCCTATAAACAATAAATAGAACCGTAAAAAAAAACAAATACATAAATAATACGTAATAATAAATAGCTACATAAAAAAATCGCTACGTATTCCAAATTTTTTCAATGATCTTTCTCGAATCGTCAATCGTCAATCTCGAACTATTTTCACTGTCCCCCCTCTACTCAATCCTCCTCTCCGCGCCTGATAAATAAAATATTAGCCGGCAGTCAATTCAAATTCATTATTCGGCGAACGACGCGAAGTCAATTGACACAAGTGCCCTCGACTCCGGCTTCGTGGTTCCTATTTTATCGTAAACTGTACGTCAGTCAACAAAATTACACTTACAGTGTAATTACCGGATTGCTAATTCACTGATTACAGTGAAATTACTTAATCGATGTTGAGTAGATAATACACAATAATTTTGGTGTTTTGTTCAAACAATTTTTTCGTAATTCGCGAGTTACCTCGGATAATGAGCGCAAGTTCGTTGCATTATTCCATTATTTCTATTGCGGGTATTACTATTGTTACCGTTATCATCCAAGTGCTGTGCATATTCTGATACCGGATTTCGTATCGACTGATTTATTTCGAGAAAATAGGATGGTTCACGCAATGCGCAAGGTATGTTCAGGAATTTTAAATAACATTTCATGATTTACGAATCGAATGAAGATGAATTGAATCTGCAACTGCACCCGCGAGTTTTTTAAATTCAACCTAACTTTTATCGCTCGATAATTCCGACTGTGGAGTGGAATTTTTGTGGATTTCTTGGTCAATGATTGAGCGTTTCGCAATAATTTAATTATTCAAACTTGGAAGGACTCGATAGAACTTCAGCTGTGAATTTTTATCCATTGAAAAACAGATGATGACAAAAATCTGAAACCCCATTGTGCGAGTGTAATCATCTCCTTTTCATTAACTTCGCGATTGTAATTATCCCGAAAATCAAATCAGTAGCGAAGTGGTAGAACGGTTTAAGTCGACTCATCTCCCAGTTGAGTTTTTGAGGAATATCTCCGAATCTAAGGGAGATAGCGAAATTTTTGTAATTACATTTGTTGTAGCTCTCAATCAGCTCTACCAAAAAGGTTATAATGAAAATTCTGCTATCTCCCTTAGATGCCGAGATATTCATTGAAAACCGGTCAATAGTCAAAATTGAATTGTACTGTTTTACCACTTCGCTACTGAAATGTTTTACCTTTTCAATCGCATCAGCTTTCTGTCCAAATAAAGACTGTATTATTCATTAAGATTGTTATTATTAGTGATCCACGTGCTTCGGACAGCGCTGTGAAGTGGGGAAGTGGCTCGTGAATTATAAGAGGAAATGTTATCACTCGTTTTCGGATTATCAGAATTTCTGGGCTTTCGGCGCGTGGGTCACACGTGCTCCCCGACCGGGGCGGCATTTCCGGGTAAATGGTGAGGTTACATTCGTCCGGGTGAGAGGGTGTGATAGATATAATAGCTATTTGCGAGGAAATGCTTCAACGTTTATGTAATAGGCATTGGTACGCATTTTTGGATTATGGGTTTCAGACGAAAGGTATGTTTCCTACACCCAGGGGAATTTTTCATTTGAATTAAATGAATTGGCTTGATTACACAGCTCGTAATGACGCTTTCATTCAATGTCAAACTTGATTTTTAGTCACATCGAATGAAGGGTTTTTCGAATCTAGAAAAATGGATTGGAATTTCAATAGAATTTCAATAGAGTACGAATTTTTTCTAATTTTCTGCTCTATTTCTTAGTTTTTGATCGCAAAATCGAAGAAGAAAAATTAAAAAACAGACCCGAGAATTCCAAATTTATGTTTTATAGCCGGAGGAATATTTCAATTGAATTAAATAAATTAGTTTGATTAAGCAGCTGATAATAACGCTTTTATTCAGCCTCACACCGGATTTTTATTCATATCAAATAAATGGTATTTTGAGGGTAGAAAAAGGTAATGATTTTTCAATAGAGTTTACTTGATATACCTTCTCGATCAAAATTCTTGGGTACAAAATTTTCTGCATTTTTCCCGCTCTATTTCTTGGTTTTTCATCACAAAATCGAACAGAAAAAATTGAAAAGAACAGAATTCTTATGCACTGTTAGAAATTTTTTAAAATTTCACGGAAGATTTTATAGTAAACCTCATGACAGTGACATTGAATCGAATTTAGGGAAAAAATGGTTATGAAATTTCAAGTTTTAAGTAGAATTAGAGGTGAAAATATCACAATTTGCATTTTCAGTGGGACATGACATGAATGACATCAATGACGTGGAAATGACATGAATTTTCAATTTCTCCCTTAATCTTCCTGATTTTCCTGAATTTTCACAGAATAATTGAACTGAAAAATTAAGTATTTAATGATTTCCAGAACATTTGAACAGAAATTCACTGGAATATTTGGTTTTTCAATGACCAGATTTCCGGATTTCACGGAAAATTCAAACCAAAACAAATTTCAAAGAAATTTGCAAAGTTGCAAAACAAATTTCATCGAATTTCCTAGACAGCTTTTTCTGTTCAATGTTTTGTATTCGGTGCATTATTAATTCTCAATTTGCAACATCGTGCGTGGTTATTTAATACAGTTCAACATCGGTTTGAAAAAATTATCGCGTAAAAACTAAAAATTTCCCTTTCATAAAAAAATCTATCTCGAATGAATATTATTGTTTATTCCGCAGTTCTTCGTTCGAGGAAGTCTTTTGGAGCAGATCCAGAAGAATGTGCGGTACAGTTCATCCCTGAAAATTCGCGACCAGGAATTCCTCCAAACAGACCCAGAAGCAGACCGTTCGTTTAAAGTACGTTAATCTCCACCTGTTCAAACATCGCTGTTTCCGTCGCCCTTTCATGCACCGACTCGTGATGAAATTTTTTACCCATGAAATCGCGTTTTTCAGTACTCAGACATGTCGGTGACACTGGCACCACCCCACATGCTCCAGCCGAAGCCGAACGTCAGTGATCTTAGCTTTGGCAAATACTTCACGGATCATATGTTCAGGGTTTATTATCATGAAGCACTTGGGGGCTGGCAGACCCCTGAGATAACCCCTTTAGAAAATTTAGTTTTCCATCCTGCTGCTAAAGTACTTCATTATGCCATTGAAGTGAGTACAGACGTTATTTCAGAATATCAATCATTTTATCCTTCACTTTTCCATTTTTCTTTCAATTGCAAAAAATTTAGAATTTGCGTTTAATTCATTACCAATTCATTCTCATAAATCCAGAATTTGAGGAAGTAAATTGATAGTTCATACTCAACCATTTGATTCTCCATTTTTCCTTTTTTTTCAATAAAAAAAAATTTAGATTTCGAATTCGATTGATTAAAGATTTAGACATTATGAAAGAATTTTCTAACGTTTTCCTGCAATTTTTTCTTCACATCAAATTGGAGATTAATCAATCAAGTTCAAGGAATAAATTTTCTCAGAACATAGCACTATAGTTCAATATCTTAATGATCCAGAAAATAAAAAATAACCCGAGATTATTTTCCCTAGGCATTCGAGGGGCTGAAGGCATACCGAGGAGTCGACGGAAAAATCCGTCTATTCCGTCCAGAGCTGAACATGGTGCGTATGAACGCATCAGCCCGAAGAATGGGTCTGCCAGCATTCAACGGGATAGAGTTCATAAAATGCTGCACCAGACTAATCAGTATCGACCAGGAATGGGTGCCCCATTCAGAGTCTTCCAGCCTCTACGTAAGGCCGACGATAGTGGGCATTGATGTGAGTAGCTAAATGAGAATCAAGGAACAGTCATTTCGCAATTATTCAAACAATAGATTGTAAACCGAACAAAGGTTGAGGGAGATAATCATATTTTTCAGCTTAGTCGCTTGAATTATTATGATACAGATCCTATTTTGAATGCCGTACTGAGAGTCAATGCGATTTATCAGGCATTCAATGTCTTCATTTCGTATTTGTTCTCGAAATTTTTTGACACTATGAACTTGAGAATTATTTCCTAAAGAGTCACACTCTTCTGACTTCCAACAAAAGCCTCGTTGCTATCTCAATTCTTTTTCTTCTTTTGGTCTCTCGATTACGTTATGAGTTCATCTCGAGAGTTATCTGGAGTAATTCCACAGCTGTATAAGTTTCTCGAAAACAGTGGAGATATTGTATAATAGGAGAAACGTCCAGTGATGGAACCAATTGACGTATTTATTTAAAAAAATAAAATATGATGTCGATCACTTTAATTCGATCTCATTAGACTTCTTCCATATTTTCTCAATTGGATTTGACGAATCACCAATGCAATAATTATCATCAATGCAATTTCTTCATTTCATTTTTGTTCTCTAAATTTTTTCGCATGATGCCACATGATTGTCACATGAATAATAACAATTTCCTGGTCTCTTTTGACTTTCAACAAAAGCTTCGTCGCTATTTCAACTCTTTTTCTTCTTTTGGTCTCTCGATTACGTTATGAGTTCATCTCGAGAGTTATCTGGAGTAATTCCACAGCTGTATAAGTTTCTCGAAAACAGTGGAGATATTGTATAATAGGGGAAACGTCCAGTGATGGAACCAATTGACGTATTTATTTTAAAAAATACAATATGATGTCGATCACTTTAATTCGATCTCATTAAACTTCTTCCATATTTTCTCAATTGGATTTGACGAATCACCAATGCAATAATTATCATCAATGCAATTTCTTCATTTCATTTTTGTTCTCTAAATTTTTTCGCATGATGCCACATGATTGTCACATGAATAATAACAATTTCCTGGTCTCTTTTGACTTTCAACAAAAGCTTCGTCGCTATTTCAACTCTTTTTCTTCTTTTGGTCTCTCGATAACGTTATGAGTTCATCTCGAGAGTTATCTGGAGTAATTCCCCTGGAAACGTCCAGTGATCGAACCAATTAACGTATTTAAAAAAAAAAATACAATATGATGTCAATCACTTTAAGGGGAGACGGAACCCCTTTGTCTACATCAAATCTTAGAATTGTGTTTTCTCCTACAATTATTCATTTCTATCTATGAAATTATTTTATCGACTCGATTATCGTATTGTTGAGTCAATGAAGTAGTTTAATGAATAAAAAATAATAATTGCAGGAGAAAACACAATTCTAAAGATTCATATAAACGCAGGGGTTCCGTTTCCCTTTAAGTAGATCTTATTACTCTTTTTCCCCGTTTTCTCAATTATCTCAATGCACCAATCATCATCAATTCATAATCCCCATTAATTTTTTTCAATAAACCGCGAAGTCCACTCGACCCTCTTATCATTCTCCACTGGAAAAAAATGAAAACTCTCACTTTCAAGTTCATTTCCAAAGTTCGTTCATAGATATGACATTTTCATCATCTCGAGGCTGATGTAATAGTGCCACGCTTTTCAGAATTTTCCGAAGATAAGCAGGAATAAATAACGAATGTTTGGTCTTTCATGTCGACAGCCGACCCTGGGAGTTGCCTCATCAGAGTCAGCACTGCTGTACGTGATCCTTTGTCCAGTGGGCTCTTACTTCGCTGGGAACAAAAGTGCGGGGGGGGTTTCGTTGCTGGCTGATCCCAGGTACACGAGGGCATGGCCAGGGGGCTGTGGAGACCGAAAAGTTGGGAGCAATTACGCACCAACGATCAGGGTGCAGAAGGAGGCTGCCGAGAAGGGACTGCAGCAGGTTCTCTGGCTCTACGGAGAGGACCACCAGGTGACGGAAGTTGGGACTATGAATATTTTCATGTTTCATATTAACGAGGCTGGAGGTGAGCACTTGAACATATCCAACTTATTCCACAATTTTCTTTTCCTTGAGATGAATTTTTTCCCGAATATTCATTCGAGAGATCTTAACATGTTGGCTCACATGCAAAGGTTCGCCGGATAACGATTTCTACTGCTCATTCGTTGGAAGGAAATTTTTCTCATGAAATTTAATTGACATTATTTTGTCATTAAAATTCATTTGAATAGGGATAATCGATGAAATGCCTGTATTATTATCAATTAATTTAAGGCACTGAAATACTACTTTGATATTTTTTTTAGTCGAAACAAATTTTTACCCCCAAAAGCATTTTTTAGAAATCTTGACAAATTTTTTCCGGTTCATAATTTTACCGGAAATCAATTCTTCATTCTTCGACATTCACTGACATGCCTTTGTCAGTGAAATTCATTTCCATCATGATAATCCACGAGATGTCTATATTATCATCAGTGAATTAAAAATTCTAAAATACAACTTTGACTATTTATGTAGCAATCATTCAGCAAATTTATTCACAAGAATTGGATGTTACAGAAAAAGTCATGTTTATTTCAATCTTTCGTTTCACGCAATTTGGAATTAATTAATTAATTAATTAATTTTCAATGAATTTTCAGAAAGAGAATTAGTAACACCACCATTGGAAGGTCTCATCCTCCCAGGAATCACCAGGGCCTCGATTATAGACGTCGCTCGTGATATAAATGAGTTCAAAGTAACAGAGAGGACTATTACCATGAAGGAAGTTAGTCGACTAGTAGCAGAGAATAGAGTGAGTTCCCTAAAAATGGGGTTTTGCGTAAACTGTAATGCTGACAATCACGTGAAGAAGACTGGATACGATTGCTATTCTTGAATTTCCATAGATAATGAGAAATTATTTATTGCAAACGCCAGAATTCTCTCCAATTCCCTAAACACGCTCATTTTTTACTGATTGTTCAGCATAAAAAAAGACATTCTTTAAATTTTCGAATTCATAATCCACTAAATCCAATTCCATTCAATGAATTTAGTGCATAAAAAATGCTGACGTTTACGTTCGGTTTTTATAGTTATTAGAGATGTTTGGAGCTGGAACAGCTTGTGTCGTGAGTCCAATCTCATACATTGAATACATGGGACGTGGACTCCACGTACCCACGTGCGATCAGCCAGAGCCACTCTACAAGAAATTCCTGAAAACCCTCCTAGATATCCAGTATGGCTACGTACCGGGGCATCCATGGACATGGGAAATCGACTGATAAACTCACACCTCTCGCAATTGATATTAGCTCGAACACCACAAATAAATCTCAACACCTCATCTACTACTCATGGACCTGGCATTTTTGACCAGTCTTGTGATCCTTTTTGTACTATTTATTGTTACTGAGACGCTCATCACTCTGCGCTGTTGCCAGCCTCGAGGACTTATTGTACATAGTTTGAAGATTGAAGTGATTAGAAGACGGATTTCTCCTCGATTGTGTAAATATTGAGGGGCAATTAACGCGAAATTTATGTACCGCCGACGATCATTAGTCTAATTAAGTGTTGATTTTTCTGTTGAATTATTGTTGAAATTGTTGTGCCTAAGGATAAGATGTTTTTAGTAATTTAAAATAGTTTGTTCAATGCGGAAATATATCAATTTTTTATATAAAATGTTTGTAAAGTTATTCAGTAAGTTTACGAATTTGAATTTTTTCTGTGAATTATTCTCTTGGAATTGTTTCTTGAGAGAAATTCTTGGGAGGAAGATTGTTCTGCCGCAATTCAAGTAAAAATATTTTGAAAAATCAAGCTTAGGAATTATTCTATCAATATTTATCCAACTTTTTTATAGAAAAAATCTATTGATGATATTGTGAAATCATCGGAAAACTGAGTGGAATTTTTTATTGAATTTTGAGAGAATCCTACCAAAATTCCAATTTAATTCTCATAGAATTTTAATAGAAAAGTCATCGAACTTTTCGGAGAATCATTAAATTTTTCTGTTAATTTTTTTTACTCTTTAAATTTTTCCTAATGTTTTCACCGCAATGACCTATTAATAAAATAAAATGATTTTCCATTTAATCCTAACAAAATTCTAATTTAATTCTCATAGAATTTTAATAGAAAAGTCATCGAACTTTTCAGAGAATCATTAAATTTTTCTGTTAATTTTTTTCACTCTTTAAATTTTTCCTAATGTTTTCACCGCATTGACCTGTTAATAAAATGAAATGATTTTCCATTTAATCCAAATCAGTGGAAAAACTCAGTAGATGAATTTGAATTTTAATGAAGAAAAAACTGTCCGTTTTACGCCTCCATTGCTCCAAACTAAATACCAAATACCTTTCTCAGCAATGCCCCTCATAATACCGGAATTCCACCGATAGAAGTTCCAAACTATCGTACGATAGTAGAATCGAACGACCTTGTGGCGCAGAGGACGTCGAAAAAGGTCAATTCAAATGCCTGGATCGAGCGAGTGTCTTCCACTCCGGTCGTCCATTGAAAATGGCGCAGATGGTGAGGTGTAGGGTTGGCCTGTTATCACTGAAATCCCTTAAAAACCCAGTGTCACGGATTATTCTCCCCGAGAAATACCAGAGATTATGTTTTCACACGAGTTGGGTAATGAATGGTGAGTTGATGATCACGTCCGTCCCTCTTCCATCGATATGAGCACGATTCAGAGGTTATAATTGCAGTTGGAGTCATCACAACTCCTGAATACTCTCTATTTCCTATTCAACAAATAGTTAAACAATTTCTCGCAATTGTTTTCAACGTCTCCAACTCCTCACTCCACGCCATCAACCGTAAAAGAATTATTGTTTTTAAAGTAAATTCGTTATGCAACCAATTGTCAAAACGCTCAGTCCCATGTCACTGGGTCATTTGAAATCCGATTGATGAATGAAAATTTCGTTGATTATTTCATAGTCTAGGGGAAGGACACTCTTACACTAGTATGAACATGATTCAGAGATCAAAATTGTTATTGGAGTGGTGATAACTCCTGAATATTCACTATTACCTATTTAACAATTTATTAAATAATTCCCCGCAATTGTCTCTAATTAAACAATTCTTAATTGTCTCAAGTAATTAAACAATTCTCCACAACGTCTCTAATTTCTCACTCCACCTCATCAACAATAAAAAGACTATTGTTTGTTTTAATTAGTCATGCAACTAAATGTCAAAATGTTCAGCCCCATGTCACTGGGCCAATTGAACTCAGATTGATGAATGAAAATTTCATTGATTATTTCATAGTCGAGGGGAAGGATACTCTTGCACCAGTATGAACATGACTCAGAGATCAAAATTGTAATTGGAGTGGTGATAACTCCTGAATATTGACTATTCCCTATTTAACAATTAATTAAATAATTCTCCACAATTATCCCTACTTAAAAAATTCTTAATTGTCTCAATTAATTAAACAATTTTCCACAACGTCTCTAATTTCTTACTGCACCTCATCAACAATATAAAGACAATTTTTTGTTTTAATTAGTTATGCAACTAAACGTCAAAATGTTCAGCCCCATGTCACTGGGCCAATTGAACTCAGATAGATAAATGAAAATCTCATTGACATTCACTTCCTGAATATTTACTATTCCCGATTCAACAATTAATCAAACAATTCTCCACAATTGTTACTCAACGTCTCTAATTTCTTACTCCACCTCATCAACAATAAAAATACTAGTATTTTTAATTAAATTTGTTCATCAACCAAATGTGAAAATGTAAATTGAACTCAGACAGACGAATGAAAATTTAATTGATGATTTCCCAGTCAAGGGGAAGGAGGTGCTCATGCCCTCGCTCTCTCCGACGATGGAGACAGGTACAATCGTCAAGTGGATGAAGAAGGAGGGTGACCCTATCCAACCAGGGGATGCCCTGGCAGACATACAGACTGACAAAGCTGTGATGACATTTGAAATGGACGACGAGGGGACGCTGGCGAAAATTGTGGTGCCTGAAGGCACGAAGGACATCAAAGTGGGAACTCTGATTGCTCTGACTGTCGAGCCTGACGAGGACTGGAGGTCTGTGGAGATGCCTGGGGGTGCAGCGACGCCTGACGCACCTGCTGCGCCTCCTGCGGGGGCTAGTGCCCCCGCGGCAGCTGAAGCAGAACCACCTGCTGGCCAGTACGTCTCCAGATTCAACATTTTACTTTTTGCCTTGATTTTCATTCGGTCTTGATTCGACGATTTTTTAAAAATATTTGGAGTAGAAAGAGGGAATGAGATGAGGGTTTTTTCATTTTTAGAGTGAATGTTGCTATGCCTGCATTGTCTCCAACCATGACGTCAGGAACGATTGTTAAATGGCTAAAGAAAGAGGGGGATGAGATATCTCCTGGTGATGCCATTGCAGATATTCAAACGGATAAGGCTGTCATGACGTTCGAAATGGATGAGGAAGCTGTTCTAGCGAAAATTCTGGTGAGTGGGGATCAAATTAATGAGGAGAAATACTCGAGGATTTCTTGTTTTTTCTTGCGAAAATTTAGCCTGAGTGGAATTAAAAAAAGGAATGAATAATATCCAAATATTTTAACGATTCGTTTTGTTAAATTTTTTTCAATACTTGAACTTTCACTCAAGTCGCAAATTTACACTAAATTGCCAGAAATTTTGGAATCATTTTACATTTGTAATACATTTATTTATCTAAAAAATTAGATCTACCGAATTGTTAATGCTAACAATGAACTAATTTATTCAAATTTCTCTCGTAATTTAATTAACCAATTTCACGATTCAAAATGTCAAAATTTGTGTATCGACCTCAACGCCCATGATATTTTGATCTCTTCCAGGTGGAAGAAGGATCTCAAGTAGAAGTGGGACAACTAATAGCAGTGACAGTGGAAAGAGGAATGGATCCAAAGGCCATTGTCATTCCCACAGCAACGAAACCCTCAGCGAAGCCCTCAGCCCCATCACCGAAGCCGTCCTCAGCTCCCTCTGCCGCATCACCAGCCCCCGCTGGTGATAAGCCACCCCCTGGTGGACAAGTCTTCGGATTAGCAGTGAAACGATTGCTGGAGGAGTACGGCCTCAGTTCTGGGTCTGTCAAAGGCACTGGCAGGCCGAATCGTCTGCTCAAGAGTGACGTCCTTGGGTACATTCAGCAGAATAATATCCAGAGAGTTGACCTACGAGCCGCACCAGCACCTGCCAAGGCAGGAGCTCCCAGCGCCCCTTCAGGACAACCCAGGGTCGCAGCCCCACGAAAATCTGGGCCTTCGACCTACAGAGATCTCGAGATATCTAATATCAGGGCTGTTATCGCTAAACGACTGGGAGAGTCCAAGGTAATCTATCGAATTATTACTGATAGGGTGAATCATTGATTGGACGAATGGAATTATATGATAATTAAGGGTTTCGAAGAGCACGATTACAGGTAATTTCATTCTCGAAGATAAATCCAGAATCAGCGTGACTTCATTTAGTGATTTGTTGGATGACTCATTGATCTATCAATAAATAAATCAAATCGTTAAAGTAATTTCAATGAATGATGAGATTTATTCATTGGAGAATGAGAATCATTCAGTAAATAAACGAATGGGATTAAATGATAAGGTAATTATCTTTTAATTGCACCAAGGAATTGATTGATTTATTCATCAGTAAATGAATGAATAAATCAAATTGTTGAAATAATTCAAGTAATTAGCAATAATTTCATTTGTTTATTTATAAATAGATAAATGAATGAGTAATAAGAAAGTAATTGCTTCTATCACTGGACAGATCCCTCTCTGATGCCTCGCAAATAAAAGAAATGTATTAATTTCATGTGTTCAATTAATCTATTCAATTTTCTAGCGCGGCATTCCTCATTCCTACGCAACAGTCGACGTGAGAATCGACAAGCTCAATGAAGTTCGTGAATCGCTCAAAGGGGAAGGCATCAAAGTATCAGTCAATGATTTTATCACGAAAGCTGTGGCTCATGCCCTCCTGCAATGCCCTGACATCAATACTCTGTACAAAAATGGACAGGTGAGGATAACAATAATACCAATAGGTATTGTTGACCATTAACAACAATAAATATTAATTATAATTAATATTAATAAGTAATATATCAATAAATAGTATTAATATTAATTTATTAATTAATATTCATTTCAAGGTATTGTTGACAATACCTTCGGTAATTTTGGAAGTCAGTTTTTAAAGAAAAATTACTATTTTGTCGAAATTGGGGGTTTTTAGACAGTGAGAATGCAAAACGTCGATGTTTCTGTTGCTGTCTCAACACCTGCGGGTCTCATCACACCAATTGTGTTCGATGCTGTCAGCAAAAGCCTGAGTGATATTTCTAGTGACGTCAGGACACTTGCTGGAAAGGCCCGAGAGGGAAGTCTGAAGCCTAATGAATTCCAGGGGGGAACTTTCACGTTAGTATTTTCATTGTGATATTTTTTTCTTTATTTTGATGAAGGGAAAATGATTTGTAAAATCTTAAAACAGAAAGAGTTCAGTCAAAAAGGAGAAAGAGGAGAAGAGTTTTAATTATTCATTAAATTTGTTTTCTGTTATCTCAATGAAAAAAAAATGAATTGTGAAATCTTAGAACAGAAAGAGTTCAATAAAAAAGAAAAAAAATTAAGTGCTGAGTAAAGTGTTTTCTTCTTCGTTTTGGTGAAGAAAAAATGATTTTAAAAAATTTAATCAAATCTTGAATTTAAAAAAGTTGGTCATTTCAACGAAAATGAAAGAATTTGCGAAATTTAAAATCAGAAAGAGGCTAATATCTTTTCTTTCAGGATATCAAACTTGGGAATGTTTGGAATAAAAGAGTTCTCAGCTATAATAAATCCCCCACAGACTGCGATCCTCGCGGTTGGAACAGGTCGTGAAGTGTTGGGTAAATAATCCAATGAATCTCAAAACTACTCATTATAATTCGCTAAATAGCTATCATGTATTATGAATGTCTAAAGTGTAAATTTCATTTCTCAATATTTGGTTTAATGCTGGTCACAGTCGTAGATGCGTTGAGTGAGAGTGCAACAGAAGGGGAGATTGGTAAGAGAAAAAACGTCAATTATTTGCACACTGATAAATTCATAATACATGAGTAATCGCACCTTGCTGGCAGTAGCGGCTATCGATGAGTCCTCGAAATATTAAATTTTTCATTTTAATGTTTTTGAGATAGACACAACGCTCAGAAAAGCAGCTGTAATGAGTGCTACATTGTCGTATGACAGTCGAGCTATTGATGAGGATCAGGCTGGAGATTTTTTGGCAGTTCTCAAATCAATTCTGGAGGATCCAGCTTTGCTGACGGTTGGGAGGGGTCAGCAGGCTATGAGACACAGGCGTTAAATGCCGGTATGTATTTCCAAATGTCTGAAATAATGTGTTGTGACAACACTTTATTTTTCTCCCCAAATTTTTCTTGGAAATGAATTTATGATCATTTCAGAAGAAAATGAATAGAATGAGAATAGGAAAAAATTAGAAGTTTCAGATTTTACTAACAATTTAATAAAATTCCAAATTTTGAAGCAAAAGGAAGACTAGGACTAGAATTTAGTACCAAATTAGAATAAATTTTCCTGATTTTTATGAATTTTCATGGAATAATTGAACAAAAATCTTCAGTTTCCCTGGATTTTTTACAAAAATTTTGCATTTTCAATGGTGAAATAATTAAATTTCAGTGGAATTATGATGCGATAGAAGTTTCAAAGCAGTGTACCGGGAATTTGAGACAAAAATTTTATAACAGTGTAGGTTAAATTTTGATGGATCATTTTATTTCAGACACATTTAATTGGACTCGTGCCATACTGCCACGTGTGATCTTAACGATGAACCAATCACAGTGTTCATGATCCAAAGAACGAGATGAAGAAAATAATAACGATCTCGAGGGTTTGGATGAATAGTTAAACAAATAAAACCACTGAATCTACAAAATCCGAAAAAAAATCGAAAATTTCAGAATGAAAACTTTTCATTCAACGATCTACGTAATTTGGTACGATTAATTTACACACTAGGTCCATATTGAATGATATCTAGTTGAATTGTTGTATAAAACTTAATTAATCGGGCAAATGGTGTTCACTTCCTCACTGATGTGACGAATGACTAATTAGAGTGAAATCATTGGCTGCGTCAATGTTACTGTAAATAAAATATTTATTGACCCACAACCTTGTACGAATTTTCTCTCATTGTCACTTCCATTCCTCTACTTAATCCATCCCTGGCCAAATTACAAGGGAATTTCCCTATTGAATGATCAACAGATGGTGCGTCTGAATTTTTTTCCTCTTGCGGACGAGTCAACAGTTCTGATAACGTATCGCTCGGCGGAATTCGAAAAGTTTCTTTTGAGATAAAAGTACCGTCTCAAATAAACTATTTTGTGGTAAAGAGTTACAAAAATCATCAAATGAAATGAAATTTCATGAAATTCAATGAAATTTCTCATTTTTGTGCAGCAGGAAGACAAAAATTATTAAACTTTCGTGAATTTTCAATCAATTTAAAATGAAAGAATGTATTTGCCTGAATTTTCATATTTTCTATTTATTTTTATATAATAATCGAACTGAAATTTACAGTTTCCACTGATTTTCCACGAAATTTAAAATTTTTAATGACGAACTTTTAATTCCTTGCAATTGCAATGGAATTAGAATTGTGGTGGAAATTTCCAAGAAGTGTACCGGGAGTTACCAAAATTCTTTAGCAATGTAGTGTGGAATCTTTTATTTCACAATCAAAAGAAAAAGATCAATTTGAATAAAATATTTTTCTTCGCATTCTTCAATATTTTATTCGACAAACGAATGAAAATCCAGGATAAAGACGAAATCTTTGCACTTGCGAAAATTACCAGTACTTTCCGTCATATTTAATGACTTGAGAATGAAAATCTATTGCTTATCTCTCGTTCGTGCGATTGATTCACACGTCAGAAGCCATTACCGTGTGTTTTTATACGTCATGCAACGTAGCTAGTGAGGAAGAGCACTGTATTGCATTCCAATTGAATATCTGTCCACGTTCATTCCTTCCTTTTACGAATTATTTTTAGCGCCTCTCTTTTCCTTTCTAAAATATTCCGAGGGATCTGATATGTCCATTATCTCGATAGTGATTTTCTGGGAATTCAGTGATGATATGATTAGCCAGGGCACACGATTCTTATATCAGTAAAATTTCGATATAATTCAATATAAATTGTCTCATACATATATACATACAATTTTTAAGTAGTTACATACATAATCATATTAAACGTTGAGCAATATAATGATGCTCTAGGCACGAGGGTTCACAACAGAATACATTTCGTATAAAATGGGTACATTTTTTTCATTCGTAACGAGTGATGCTTTCTTACTCTTTCGATAAAAAAAAATCCTCTCGAAAATGTTCACTTGTAGTTGATATAAAAAATACAGCAGATATGTTGCGTTTGGTCCTTTCATCACAATTAATACTCTGATTAATACAGAAACAACTCCTCAATTTTGAAGGAAGCCTTAATCTCGTGGGGGAGAACAGGGGGTGGGGCGTAATGGGCACTTGACATTTTGTTCATAAAAACAGTTATTAAATGGGAAAGCGCAGTATTTTCATAGATAAAAAAATTATCCCATTTCGTTGAGGATTCACGAAAAGTCGAGTGTCCATTTTACCCCACTTGTCCCTATCCATCTGTGTCGAGTAAAAATTAGGCCTTCTAGAATAAAAAAATTGCCACGTACCCCGGGAATATCTGGAGACTTTGAATCGCAGATGAGAAGAATCTGCTCGTGTAAAAATCTCCATAAAAATCATCTTGATAAGTACAAGACTTACTGAATGTCTACAATATTGTTTCAATATTTTATAATTGCCCACATATCGAGCCCACCATTGACTCACAGTATCCGTCCACACATGATTCACCAAAACATCAAATTAAAAATATTTATGCAAATGAACTAAACATGACGACGAGATATGGAATGAGTTTTTGAAACGTGAAATAAAAAAATCTAGAATACTTTTTGCAACCGCGTCTGTGCAACCTCGATGAGTTTCCTGAGGCTCGACAATTCGGCGCAATTATCCAAGAAGGGATGCGCCAGGAGTTCATCGGCAGTGGCACGCTCGTCGACCTCCACCGCGAGACAGCGTTCCAAAAAATTTTGAAAGGTAGCACTCAGTGAGTTCCACCGAGGTATCGAGGGTTTGCCAATGGCAGCAATTAGATAAAGCGCTCTAAGTGGTGTCTCTTTCAAATAAGGTGGCTCTCCCTCGATCATCTCAATCGCCATGATCCCCAGTGACCAGATATCGACCTTCTTGCCATACTGCTTCCTGGTGACAACCTCAGGCGCCATCCAGTAGGGAGTCCCCACCATAGTCTGTCTCTTCTCGTCGCCATCGATATTGGCACAAAACCCAAAATCCGTAACTTTAACAGCCCCATTCATGCCCAACAAAACGTTATCCGACTTGATGTCCCTGTGGATGATTCCCTTGGAGTGTAAGAAGCTTATGGCCTTGAGAACTTCCCGGCAAACTGCTGCTATCTGCACCTCCTTCATGATGGTCTCAGTGACGACGTCAGTCAGCGGTCCCCCCTGCAGCAGCTCCATAACCACCCAGAGGTGCTCCCCAACCAGATACGCATCCAGAAAATTCACCAAATTCGGGTGTTGGAATTCCTTCAGTACTTTGATCTCCGTGAGTATGAGTTCCTTCTTTGGTTGCTTCGATAGATCTATGTCCTTGATGGCGACCTTGTCGTTGTTAACGAGATCAGTCGCTATGAAGACGACTCCGGAGGCCCCAGCCCCGACCTCTTTGGTGCGTTCGAACCTGCGATTGGGGTCGCCACACTGGCAGATGCTCCTCAGCTTATCGTAGACCTCCTCGTCACCCATCTTCCCCTCCGAGGAGTCCGTCTTCCTCCTGAGGACTGGGCTCTCAGTCGGCGTTCGCGCCACGTTGTCCTTCGCCAGAGCCTCGGCATCGAGAGTGTAAGAGTTCAGATCCTCCAGGATCTCCGTCAGAGTCTTCTCCACTCGCTCCTGCTGCGCCTGCTGGTGCTTCCTGGGGGCCGGCTTCGGCGGCTTGTTCTGCTTCGGCGGCAGCTCCGGCAGTCGCTGGCTGTCCGTAGAACTCGCCGAAGTCGAGCCATCAGAGTCCCCAGACTGATACTTCTTCTTGGCCAGGATTTTGTCGATCTCCTGGCGCTCCTCCTCTATGAAATCCTCCGTCACGAACGGCTTGAATATTTCCTGCTGCGGTTTCTTCTTTATTGATATCGAATAATTGTAGAACGTTATCGCGTGCAGGGCCGCTGCCGGGTGGGTGTCCTGCTCATGTTTCGTTATCTGGGAATTCAATTGACGGAGCCACGAGTCCGGGAGGCCCTCCAATTTCCCCGTTTTCGCGTTTTTTATCACGTGAAACTTGTGCGAAACGTCCGTTGGAAGACCGATCTCACCGATACTCTGGTCGGTGGGGGTTTTCTTCTTTGAGAAGAATTTCGATATGCTGAGGCTCATCTTTCGCCGGAATTTCTCGCACTTTTTCGCCTCCGTTTTTAAGTTTTTACGTTCGCGGTGGGGGGAGGGATTGTTAAGTATTATAATCTACTTCGATGATTGTGGTTATCTTTCAAGATGTGCGGTTGCTACACTTGATCACACCCATTACGTCCGACGAGCACAAATTTTCACTCGGTTCACTGTCTTATGATCATTGGGTTTTAGGGAAGTGTCAATTGCTCAATTTTCACGCCCATGAAGTGCACTTTTTTCACAGCATTCGACAAGTGTCTGTTGTGGTGTGGCGAGTGACAATGAAGAGCCACTGGGGCGTTACATACTTGGGGACATGCAGTATGTCTACTTTTTCAATTGGCGCATTAGTAAATACTGATGAATTCAATGATGCGGGTACTCACACTATCTCGGGCCACTGACAAATCCGGGATAACTACTCTATTCTTATTTCCTCCTCTTACTTTTTTCACTGGGCAGTTGTTTTTTTATTCTTATCGGTTGTGCTCGCGTGGAAATGAGCACGAGAGGAACACAAAGTGATACTGAGACACACGGGACACGCCGCAGCGCTGCCTGACTGTTTTGCCAAGTGGAGGGAATGGGATTGCGCACGGGGGGACTGCCATCTCATGGGGGAATCGTGAGTCATCGGGGGATGATTCATCATCATTTTTTGGTTTGTCATTTGGGACGTTAGGCGAGGCCGGCGGGGGGATAATTGGAGTTAATTGCTCGGGGCTTTTTAGGTGGGGGGAATGATTAGGCGGCGAGATCGGGAGTTGGTACTTTGCCGGTAGAAGGTCAGGATTTTGCGGCGTTTATCGACGGAGGTGCGAGGGAATTTCAAAGGCTGTTTGAAAATGAAAATAGGAGATTTGGATTTAGGGAATCCGTTCGGGGAAACTTTAATTAGATTAAGGGGAAGGGGTAATTTGAAGGAATTTAGATGATGAGAGGAATTTTATCTTGTTTGAAGGATTTGGGATTTATTATTTGAATGGAAGGAGCGATTGCGCAATTTTCAGGGAGTATTATGACGTCAAATGAATAAATGGACACTTTTGACTTTTTTAAAAATGTTAATGACAGTTTGAAATGTTGATGAAATTCAACAATTTTTCTTTCAATGCGAAGAACATTTATTTCCCTTTGTAATGAGCCTGAACTGAGCAAAATTAATAAATTTGTTTCTGAGTTATGAGTAATTTTAAAAAAGTCAAGTGTCCATTTTACCCCATCTTCCCCTATTAAATGGAATTTTTGTTTTCAGGTCCACTGAAAAGGAAATGATTGAAGATATAATAATTGTTTTACATAAGACAGTGAATTCTATGGAAATTCTATGGATTTATTATTTGAATGGAAGGAGCGATTGCGCAATTTTCAGGGAGTATTATGACGTCAAATGAATAAATGGACACTTTTGACTTTTTTTAAAAATGTTAATGACTGCTTGAAATGTTGATGAAATTCAACAATTTTTCTTTCAATGCGAAGAACATTTATTTCCCTTTGTAATGAGCCTGAACTGAGCTAAATTAATAAATTTGTTTCTGAGTTATGAGTAATTTTAAAAAAGTCAAGGGTCCATTTTACCCCATCTTCCCCTATTAAATGGAATTTTTGTTTTCAGGTCCATTGAAAAGGAAATGATTGAAGATATAATAATTGTTTTACATAAGACAGTGAATTCTATGGAAATTCTATGGATTTATTATTTGAATGGAAGGAGCGATTGCGCAATTTTCAGGGAGTATTATGACGTCAAATGAATAAATGGACACTTTTGACTTTTTTAAAAATGTTAATGACAGCTTGAAATGTTGATGAAATTCAACAATTTTTCTTTCAATGCGAAGAACATTTATTTCCCTTTGTAATGAGCCTGAACTGAGCTAAATTAATAAATTTGTTTCTGAGTTATGAGTAATTTTAAAAAAGTCAAGTGTCCATTTTACCCCATGTTCCCCTATTAAATGCAATTTTTGTTTTCAGGTCCGTTGAAAAGGAAATGATTGAAGATATAATAATTGTTTTACATAAGACAGTGAATTCTATGGAATTCTCAAGATGAATGTGAAATTTCATGAACGATTTGATCTGAAGCAGTTATCACTCAAATTTCAAAAAATTTCCAATAATATAGAAAAATTCAAACTGAGACCTGCGAACTTTAAATAATAAAATCATTGTGAAATGTCCGGAAACGTGGGGTCGAATGGGGCTCAAATGAAAGCTGTGATGTTCGACTGCAAAAGTAGAGAAGAATTTCACTGGGGAATAGTGATGCCGCGAGACATTTCACGAGACTTCACGAGACAATACTTTGGAGGGATTGTGAACACGGGAATTTTTGAAATACGCAGTATCGACTCTTCTTGTCATGACTCCGAGTCAATTTATCTCCTCTCGGTTTCCAGTTTTTCGCATGTTTTACATGTCGATTACAAAATCGATGCGAGACAACTCGAGACAAAAGCCGAGATTTTACATTAAAAAACACGAAAAACTTGAGACCGAGATGAGATGAATTGACTCAGAGTCATCACGAGAGGAGCCGATACGCCGTATTTCGAGGCTGAGACGAACAAAGATTTCCATGTTCTCTGAAACGGAGATCGTCTCTCCCGAGTTTTGTCTCGTAAAGTGTCTCGCGGCCGGCAACAGGGGTTGGTTCATTCTCATCATCCTTTGTTGAGGCTTCGGCGCACTCTCTTAACGGTTCGTCACGGCAAAAGCTATTATGAATACCAGAAAAATTAATTCTGTCTCAATTCCCCGTATTTATGCAAAATGCCAGCGGAGGTTTTGTCTCGAATAATAATGCGCCGATTCGAGAAGAAGGAATAAACAAGGAGTAATGAACAAAGACGGAAGAGCAGTTTCGTCGGGTGGTATCAAGGTGACGGAGATGACGATTTGACATGCAGACATGCGTTCGTCGTCAATGACACGCGGTTCTATATAACAATCGGACTGACAGGATCTGGTCCTTAGTTCGCGCCCAGCTGTCTCGACGCTCACCGGGAGTTCCTCGACGGTAGCCCGCTGAATGTCGGGAAATTGTTGATTATCTGCTGACATTCCGTATAGTCAGTAATGAATTATGCTTTCCGCGATAAGGGGCGAATTCGTTGACGTGCTGTTATCGCTGTGTCGTGTTGTTGCTGAAAGAGGTCTTTAGAAACAAGTTTTGCGCAGTCGGATTTTTTAAAGTTCATAGGTGCATCCTTAATCCTGAATTAACGTAAAGGAGAGAGAGGAAAGTGAGACAAACAATTTCGGGAGTTGAGGGATTTATTTTATAACACGGAACTGTCAGCGGTTGACGGAATTGTGAGGGCATTCAGTTCGATTTGGGGGGAATGGCAGACGTTGTTGGGAATTTTTGGCGGAAATTTTAATTAACAACTTCATGGAAATTGAAAAAAATTTAGCCATTGAAAATTCACAATTTTAGGAAAAATCTATGAAAAGTGAAAATTTTAGTTCAATTGTGCAATGAAATATAGAACAAGCGGGAACATTGAGGTACATGTATTCTAGAATTTTTAATTAATTAAAATCGGCTGCTTGAGAGATTTAATTGAATTTCCCTTCCCTTGAATTTCAACAAAATTTGAAATTTCATTATTCGCTCCCGTAAGGGGGGTACAATGTCCCTCTGCTGAAAATTACTAGTGGACTGTCTATGAAGGGAAACTGCAAATTTTAGACCCATTATTCAATTCAAGTCAATAAAAATCGGGAAAATTGAGGTACATTCATCCTAGAATTTTTAATTTACTAAAAATTTGAGTAAATTTGGGAATACTTATCTTCCTGCTGCTAAAAATGTGGAATTTCATTGAATATTTAGTGAAATCTGAAATTTCAGCGAAATAATTGGAAATCCAGCGCAATTTAAAATCCAAATAAATTGTGAAAATTTCGTTTTTCTGCTGCTCAAAAATTTATAATTAACTTAATTTCTAAATTTAATTTTCTAAATGGCATACAATGTCCTCATCCGGAGAATCCCGACTAAATGTTCTCCGTAATTCCAATTTTTTTCATCAAGTGTACAAAATTTCAAGTTTCCGTTGAAAATCCAAATTTTCGTTATAAATTTGAGTTAAATTCTCGTTCTCATCGATTCTCCCATCAAACAGTGATTTCTCAATGGCGCAATTTTCTGAAATTCCGATGAAAAAATAACTCATTCAAAATTTATGAATAACAAATGCGCTCGAAATTCAGCGCAGAAATTGACCTCGTGGCCGACCTTGACATTAAGAAAAAAAAACGAACACGCGAAATTCAGTGGATAATTGTCCGGAAGGAAGAGACCGCGAACCTCCCCGTAATGTTTTATAATCTCGTTCTGCCCGAACGACCCATAAAATGCGCATAAAACATCGTAAATCATCGAGTTAGTATCATTCTACTGGGCCCCATCGACGCCGCAGGGATCCCTCTGACAGAGCTATTTTCATTCCGAAGAAAAGGAGAGAATTTTATAAATAACGAAGGACGATGCGAGAAGTCCTGTTGAGCACGGTGGGGCTGATGACTAAGGGATAGAGTGGCTTATCTGTTTACACTGGACGTTGGCCGCTAGTGTCTGGAGACCTGCTGATGCGGTGACAGTTTTTGGTTTTCACCGGGGAAAACACATTTTTCTTAATTCGAAAATATTCCAAAATAATTCAAAAAATCGTCTCCAGCTCCTTTTGAGAACTCATCGGGGGATTATTATGGAGAAGAAAAGTGTTTGCATGATGTTGTTATTTGTACTCATGCCCAACGGAGTGTTATCCTTCTCGTTCCTGCGCGAATTAATTTTTCCCAGAACACCGATGTTGAATAGAGTTCGGGCCCACAATGAGGCGCGGTCTTCCGACCGAGACTATGCAGTACTAGACTTTGTGAGTATTGATCACAATCTGAATGACTCTAATTGCCATGTGAGGACGATAATTAATGACTGTTATGCGACAGTGTTAATTAAAAGGACGCGGGCAAGAATGTCCCATTCCACGGACAGGGAGATGATTTTCAGTGATTTATCCCCAATTTTTGGGAATTCGTGGCGGGGAAATTCAACGCGTGCGCGGAGAGAAATGTTCAGTAAAAATTGCGGAACTCACAGTTCGCTCATCGATTATGGAATCGACTCAGAAAATTTGAGTGATGGTATCGTAATTGTTCACAGGAGACTCAGGTAAACATTACGGAACGCTCTGGAAAAATTCCGTGATTTTAGGTAAAGATTATGTGACAGTTCCGTAAAATTTTCTATAACCACATTTCGCTCCGGAATTACGGAAGAGATACGGATTTTTTATTGAATATTTCTCTCCGTGTGAAAAATTCTGGAATTGAGGGATTTTTTCACTAATTTTGTGTGATATTATTAATTTCCAGATTTTTAGGAATTTATCAATAATTAGTGTTGATACTGGACAATGATTAGAATAACTCTGACCATTAGTGATTTCTGTCACTGAAATTTGGTTATAAATTCCTAAAAATGACTATTCTTAGAGATTCACGAATTCTAAAATTGTAAATTCTGGAATTGGCTGATTTTGTCACTAAGTTTTAGCGATATTATTCATTTCCAGTGACAACGTCATTAATTTTCGTGGAAATGTCACAGATTTTTATGATTTTATCAACAATAATTGGTGACACTGGACAATGACTAGAACAATCCTGACCATTAGCGATTTCTATCATTGAAATTTGGTCATATATTCCTAAAAATTCCTTTTTTCAGAGATTCGCAATTGTAAAATTTAACGTGTGAAAAAAATCTACAATTGAGGGATTTTGTCCCTAATTTTTGGTGACATTATCACTAATTTTCCGTGACATCGTCCCTAATTCTCCGTGACCCCTCTCTAATTCTTCGGAATCCATCACCGAATTTCAATGATGCAAATTACCAGTGATCAGTTATTTTAGTCACAGTCCATTATCGCCAGTAACATGTGATAGATAAAAATCAGGGACATGTTCCTGAAAGTCGAGCAAAAATTTTCTCCGTGCAAACAGCACTGACCAAGTTCTTTAATTTCGCATTAGAGATCAATCGCCAGCACTGGCTCAAGGACAACCAGTTCAATGTAGGCGAATGTCAATTTCATCGCAATTGCGCATTGTCATAATCGCAATTGATTATTTTATGATCATTATATCACGTTCGCGTAGTGATAATTTATTAACGAGGCAAAAAATTTGACCAGACAGCTGTAAAAATAATTCAATGATTTTTTTTGTGAGATGGGACTCGTTGCGAAGCATGGATACACCGCGGAGGAGCATAAAGTCGTCACGAGGGATGGGTACAACCTGAGGGTCCACCGGATCCCAGGCACCCCGACGTCGCCCCCAAGAGCGGGCAAACCTGCCGTTTTCCTCCAACACGGGGTGTTCGGCTCGTCCGACCACTGGGTCCTCATGGGGCCGGAAAAAGATCTCGGTAGGCGATTTATCTAAAATATGCATTACGAAACCCGTTCTCATGATTTTTGGGGCCTTGAGGACTCCTTCGAATTTTTATAAGTCCGGAATCGTTCGTCTGCATCGGTTTTCCTTATTATTTTGCTCGTCATCGTATGATGCAATTTACAAGAATAAGCCGTGTCTTCTATTCATTTTGATAATGATTTTTTTTGGAAATGAGGGAACATTTCAATTCGCATGCTTGTTTGAATAAATTTTTTTTAATTATATGGAATGAATAATTCATTAATTTTATGATTTATTCGATGAAAACAAAGGATTTTTTCAAGTTGATAAAGTAATTCTTTTCGTTGTCTAACCAATTATTTTATTTGGAAACTTTTTTTATATCCGGAAAACTATTAATTCGATGCGAATAAAAGTCCAAAGGAAGATCCCAATTTTATTTTGGATAAACTCGTTTATTTGAATCAAACAGAGTTTTGTTTAATTGTTTACTTAAATGCTTTATTGTAAATAAAGTCTTCCTCTGGGCGCATATTTTTTAGTTTGGCCCCGAGCGATTATGATTCTCATCCAACCAATTTTTCTTTTCATTTCATTATTTTTTCTTTCAACATTTTCATTCATATATTTGTATAAATGAGAATGCTTCAATTATGTGAAATAAATAGTACTTTAATTCCAATTAAGTTCTCTGCTCGAATAAAAATAACGGAGTAACTGTTACCTACTCTGGGACCACCTTGACTGTTCGTTGACTGTGATCGTTGCAAGTTGATCAAGTAATTCTCTTCGTTTTCTCAACAATCATTCAATTTACAACCATTTATTTGATGTCAAGACGCGCGAAGAAATTTAATTGAAAAACCTAGCGAATTCATTGGAAAATTCTATTTGATTTCTATTAAACTTTCTATTAGCTTTTGGCTGATTCTATTGAAATGTTCGAATTAAATAGAATTCGATTTTTCGAATTCAATAGAAAAGTCAATAGAATTTTCTCAGCTCAAATTTTCATTTAATTTTCTTTTCTGCTCGTCAAGAAAATCAAACAAAAAAACTTGGAAAATTTGATCCGAGGAAATTCTATAGAAGATATCTCAATAAGTTACATAGAAAAAATCGAGTTCTACTGAATTTTTGTATCAAACATTTTCTATTACACATTTCAAGAGAATCGGCCAAAAACTAATAGAAAGTTCAATAGAAATCTAGCAGAATTTTTCTATTAAATTAGTTGTTCTATTAAAATTTGTCATCTGTGAATGAAAATTCAACTAAAAATCACATTTAATTGTGAATAAACGAAATCCATTTATTTGAATCAAACGAAGTTCTTTAAATTGTTTATTTAAATTCTTTATTAAATAAAGAATTTAATTCTCTGGGTGTATAATGTTTTATTTTGACTCCGAAAGATCATCATCCTCATCAAATCAAAAATCCTCTCAATTTGATTAACAAGTTCACGTCAAGGGAAACAGCTTCGCCTCCACTCGCTAATTTTAAGGGTATCAGGTGCTACACCTGAGAATACCGCACATTAGTTCTCAGTGGGGAGGTGAATCGTGGGTGATGAATCTAGCTGTGCATTGAGTACGGTCGAAAACAATGAGATATTTATTGAATGATTATGTTAAGAATGGGAACACACGAGCCTTGGGATGCTCAATCGCTGTACCTCCATTTCCTTTCACAGCATTCATGCTGGCTGATGGAGGCTATGACGTGTGGATGGGCAATGTCAGGGGCAACACCTACAGCAGGGCTCATGAGGAACTGTCTCCCTCGGACGAACAATTTTGGCAGTTCAGGTGAAATTGTAGAATTTTCGTCTCATTTCCATGTGAAGGTTTTTTATTCACTGCAATTCTTCAGTATCAAATTCAACTAAATTTTCAATCAATTTAAAATTCGAGGGAATTGTGGGATTTTTGTCTCATTTTCACTTGAAATTTTTTAATTCATTTCAAGTTTTTACTTTGACATGAACATTCAGTATAAAATTGAGCAAAATTTTCGATCAATTTAAAATTCAAGAACATATCCACCTGATTTTTTCAAATTTTCACTCAATAATTGACCTGAAATCAATGAAAAATGAAGTAAATTCAGGTGAATATATTTTCAAATTTCAAATAAATTAGTAACTTGTAAAAACGTGACGATGTCTCGTCACTTTTTCATGTGAATTCTTGAATTCACTTTTATTTTGAATAAACTCGTTTATTTGAATCAAACGGAGTTTTGTTTAATTGTTTACTTAAATGCTTTATTGTAAATAAAGTCTTCCTCTGGGCGCATATTTTTTAGTTTGGCCCCGAGCGATTATGATTCTCATCTAATCAATTTTTCTTTTCATTTCATTATTTTTTCTTTCAACATTTTCATTCATATATTTGTATAAATGAGAATGTTTAAATTTTCGATCAATTTAAAATTCAAGAACATATCCACCTGATTTTTTCAAATTTTCACTCAATAATTGACCTGAAATCAATTAAAAACGACGTAAATTCAGGTGAATATATTTTCAAATTTCAAATAAATTAGTAACTTGTAAAATCGTGACGATGTCTCGTCACATTTTCATGTGAATTCTTGAAATTTCCAAGTGAATTATTATCTTTGAATCACTAGTAGCAATAGTTGCACAATCCATGTGCATTCGACACAACCAGCACATTTGCTCCATTTTCGTTATTGTTACTGATTTGTCTCCTAGAAACAATTAGATTTTGTTATCCCCTGGTTTCAAGAATCTATGGTGCAATTTACTGTGCAGTTACCATGAAATGTCGGTTTACGATCTGCCAGCTATGATAGATTACACACTGAAGGTGTCCGGTGAGAAGGCGGTCCATTATGTGGGACATTCCATGGGTACAACCATGACCTACGTACTTCTATCTACGATGCCAGAGTACAATGAGAAAATTAAATTGGCGGTGAGTTTGGCACCTGTTGCCTTGTGGAAGGTTCAGCCCACGATACCGATGGTTGTACTGATGGAGCAGAACTTTAATTTTCTTAAGGTAGGAATTGATTGATTAATTGACTGATTGATTGATTGACTGATTGAGTGAATTATTGATTGGAATTGATTAATTGCTGTATATTCCGTCATACAAAGCAAGCAATGAATTACTGTTAAAAAAATTTGCCTGACTTTTCCGAAAAGAGAGGTTGAGTTGGATTTAAGAGGAGACGGAACAACCCCTACGTAATTATCACTTTATCTCTATGAAATTACTTTATCGACTCGATCATTGCATTGTTGAGTCAATGAAGTAGTTTCATAAATAAAAATTAGTAATTGCAGGAGAAAAGTTAATTCTAAAAATTGATAGAGACACAGGGGTTCGCTTTACTTTGAGGGAAAATGTCAACGGAATTTCAAGTTTCTCTGAAGAAAGACGAGAATTGCATTATAAATGAATATTTACTGCCAAAGTCCCTTGAATTTCCTGGCAATTCCTTTAAAATTCAGAGGAATCTGGAAATCAAGGAGTCATTGATCTGAATTTTCCTGATTTTTTCTCAATTTCCCCGGAATAATTGAACTAAAATTTACACTTCCTATGGATTTCTCCATGAAATTATGAATTTTCAATAACAAAGATCCTTGAAATTTCAATAGCAACTTTCTAGCAAAACAAGATATAAACATGGTTCAAATGAGAATGTTTCGATTATGTAAAATAAATAATCCTTCGATTCCAAGGAGAAGGAACTAAAGGAACTAAAAAAACTAAAAGAACTGCTAAAACTACTTGTTAAAATTCAATAACGGGTTGGTAATTCATTTCTTCAACACCTAGTTTTTGAAATTGAACAAATAATATTCTCCGCAACAGCGTGGATAACAATGTATTCATTTTCAGGGATTACTAGATATGAATAACATCGCTGAAATATTTCCGCAAACGACGAATAATGCGAGATTGGCCAGGGGATTATGCAGTGATGGCACTGTTACTCAATCGGTTTGCCTGACGCTAATGTCTGTGCTTTCGGGACATGATCCACATCAACTTAATTCTGTGAGGCATCCAGATTCACATTTTTTTCTTATTTGCGCATGATTTTTTTCAATTTTCGTCTTTTTTTTTCTCCACGTCGAGATCAAGTCAGGATCTAAGTCGAAGGAGGAACAAAATGACTTCTGTTTAACAGTTATTCATTATCCGTCAAGAATATTTTTAGGCATTAGATTTATTGTGGGAAAACAATTTACTTGTGACAAAATTATACTATTTTTACGAAAGAAATGCTTGTGAAATTGTTCAGTTTCAGCAGTGACGCAATTTCTTCAGAAGAAAATTCAAGCTTTTTCTTGAAATTGCCATCCTCTGTAGTTTATAGTTAAATGGACTCACTAGATCGAAATTGATTTCTATTGAGTTCTATATATCGAGGACATTATTCTTCATTCTAGAATATTTTCTTCCCATGCACTTCTAATTCTAAAAATTGAATTTTTCAGACGCTCCTGCCGTACTATTTATCATATTTCCCAGCCGGAGCATCGACCCAAACGTTATACCACTATGCTCAAAATATAAGAACAGGTAAATTGTAGATTATGAATTATAACAGAAGATGTCATATAATACACGATAAAAAAAATTGCCTGAATTGAAAATGTTCGTTCTCAAATTAAGAATTTTCATATTCGTAATTCAAGACTGCAGAATATTTTCGATCTAACCCTTCATTTCCACGGGGGGTGCAGCACAATCCTGACATTTTTTCAATTTCTACATCAACACTATGCACGTAAAAATTACGTTTCAATCCCTAAAATTTTTGGAAATGAAAAGGAAAAATTCATTTATTGCTTCAGAATTTTGTCGCGTTTTCACGTAAAAACTTCACATATTTTTTCTCAGTTTCTCGTCAAATATACTTTTCTCTCTATATTTTATTTTTTATTACCAAATGGACTTTTGATAATAAAAACTCGAAATGAAGACTCCAAAATTAAGGTTCTATTAAAAAAAATTTTTTAAATATATAATATGGGCCAATTCCATATATTTTTCAAATTTATAAAGAATATATAAGAAATATATGTAAATCATAAACTGGGCCAATTTAAGATATTTTTAAATATATTTTTCACAATATAAATTTTTCCGTGTGGAGCGTATCCCCCTAGCCTATTGAAGAATAACTTCACGGTTTTACAAATAAACCAATTAATTTTTATCTCAGGTGCTTTCCAGCAATACGATCACGGTTACATCGAGAATTTCAAGCTTTACGGAAAGAAACGGCCCCCATCCTACGACGTGAAGAAAATAACAGCCCCATTTGCATTGATCTACGGTGCAAATGACCCGTTGACCAGAGAAGAGGTAGGAAAATTAAATTGCCAGTCCCCCGTACTCGGTTAATTAACTGAACGGAAAAATACTTGCAGAATACCAATGAGCTTGCGAGGAGACTGCAAAATGTTGTGACAGTGGAGAAGGTGCCTTACAAGTACTTCAATCATATTGACTTTATATGGGCACTAGATGCTAGAGAGCTTTTGTACAATAGGATAATGGAGTTACTTGAAATGTATTGAAGCGACGAACGACTGATATTTTCATTTCCAAGTGTAAATAAATTGTGCACGTGATTAATGGCTTCCAGTCATTTGAGCTGTTTGTTCATCACTCGGGAAATCGTTGGAGATAAATTTGCATCAAATAAATGGATTATTTCTGTGCATTAAGTAGTTCATAGGAGTAATTTATTCGTTTGATGCAGCTGACTTCCCATTAATGAAAAAATTGATGAAAAATGCTATTTGTTTGTTGTTTTCTGTCTGTTTTTTGGGTCAATTTTATTGAACATCATTAAACTTGACAGTATTATTAGATATTGGACAGAAAAAATGTTCAATAAAAATGACAGAACTCACATTTCGCTCCGGAATTACGGAAAAGATAATTAAAGGTAATTTTTATTGAATATTTCTCTCCGTGTAATAATGAATGGCTAGTAATATCTGTTGCTTATCCATCACTCCGAAAACCATTGGCTGATTCAAGTCATAAAAATAATGCATTCGATTGATGCAATTTACTTCCACTCGATGAACTCCAGTGGCAAAATATAATTGAATGTGCATTCATCAGTTGGAGGGAAAATTCCACGAGAGGAACGCGCCTTCGAGCGTCCTGGGACGCACTATTTTTCCACGATACACGTGCTTTTTTCTTCACAAAGCTACCCAGCACGTGAACTGGCTCGTCGCTGGGAAAAAACTCGCAAGGCCGATTTTTTAAAAGAAACATTGGATGAAAAACTAGATAATGAGTGCGGAAGAAATTCATAAGATCATGGCTAGTTTCGCATTTCATATCATTAGTGTCTGTTGCCCCAGTGGAATATGGTGCTATCCTTAATTATATTTATTTGCTCTATGCAATTGTTCACCGGGGGTTTCAGCAAACCGGTGACACCTGCTTCGGGCCATTTGAATTTCGTGAGTTTTCTTGAGGAACTTTGCAATTTTCTTCTGAATGTGACGATATTGAATCGATCTATAACTCACGGATAGACTGAATTGGTGGAGAGACACGGGTACACGGCGGAATCCCACGTTGTAACGACTGACGATGGATATAATATCCGGATTGACAGGATATCAGGATCCCCTTCGTCACCTGAAGCGCCAGGAAAACCGATTGTTTATCTTTTGCATGGAATTGGGGTCGCCTCGGAAGCTTGGGTACTCTGGGATCCTAATAACAGTCTCGGTACATTTTTTACACGATGCATAATTACTTATGACTATATTTCCGTAATATTTTATTCTCATTTTCTCATCATTGATTCCTGATTCTTTTTAACACTTGCAACATTCTTTTTAACAGGCGAAAATTCGCCTTATACGCGGTACGCGGTCCGGAGTTGCAGAATAAAAATTAAAAAATCCAACTACTTACGATATTTTTGGCGGGTATTTTCATTAATAGGGCTTGTAGATACTTCAACATGAGATGTCAATTTTTTCCAAATTTTTCTGAATCTTCACTGCAGAAAAACTTAAAATTGTGTTTGAATTTTTTATAGGAATTTATTGACAAGTGAAATCATATGGTATTTTTATTTAATTTATTTAAAGAATCCTTGTATGAAAGTTTAGGAATGGATGGAACTAATGATTACCGATGAATTTTCGTTTCATTAAAAATCCTTCTGACATTTTCGCTTAAAATCTCTCATTATCAATACCTTGATGCTCAAAAACTACTAAAAATGGCGGAAATTTCAGCATTTTTACTGGCCGATGCTGGGTACGACGTTTGGCTTGCCAACATGAGAGGAACAACCAACGGTCGCTCCCACCGAACTCTAAACCCCGATGAGGACAATGAGTTTTGGGATTTTGAGTAAAATTTCTTACATCGCTTCCTCCACTGCACATTTGGACACTAATGTAATTCCCATTTACAGTCTCACTACAATTGCTACGAGAGACCTGCCAGCGCAGATAGATTTCATACTGGATAGGACTGGAGAGTCTAAGCTAACGATCATCGGCCACTCGATGGGAACTACTTTAAGCTATATATTCCTATCGGAAAAACCGGAGTATAACAAGAGTGTCAATTTGGTTGTCAGTCTGGCCCCTATAGCTTACTGGCATCCGAAAACTCTCGGTCTTATAAGAATACTCATGAATGCCAGCTTCCACACTGTGAAAGTATGTAGATACGAGAACAAGGGAGTACGAAAATTTTTATAGAAAAACTTAGCGAATTTGCTAGAAAATTCTATTCGATTTCTATTGAAATTTTTATGAATTTTTGGCCGAAATGTTCAATGAGAATCATTCCATTAAAAAAATCCACAGAATCCCATTTTTTCTGGGAAAATTGCTCGCCTCAAATTTTCTAAATTTTATGTTTGTTTTTTTCAATGAAACGGGAATAAAAATACAGTGAAAAAAAAATTATGTCGAGAAATTTCTGTTGAACAAAGACTTTTATCTGTAACAGGAATTGGCATCAATCATTTGATTATTAATATTAATAGGAGTTGCATCTTAGAATAATTAAAGTTCACTTATTTTTATTGAAATTTGAAAATTAATAAAATAATTGATAATGTGGAATTGTCAATTGGCCATTGAGGAAACAATTCGGAATTTGAATAATTAGTTGATGATTAATTTAATTATCTAAAGATTGTAATTGTAATTGTAAATATTTATTATTTTTAAAATTCATGATTATGCCGATGACGGCTGTCCAATGTGGCAGTAGGAATTCGCCAGATTTTTCAGAGAATACTTTTCGTACCTCAAAGTATTATCAGTTACGATATTGGTCTAAAGTATTGCAACAGCTTCTAGTTAATGGACCTCACATGAATGCAGAGGTGATACCACACGGTCCTCATGTCCTTAAATTCGCTGACGACTATTGTGATCCCAAAATTAGTGATTTATGCATAAAATTGATGAATCTGTTCATGCAGCAGTCGAAAACTTCACTGTCTTTCGTGCGTAATATCTCGAATTTATATACAGAATGCCGTATGTCCAGTGGATGCTTTTTTCAAAGTACTTCTACAATTTAGCACATACGCACAGAAAAACCTGAACGTAAATTACATTCTGCTAAACGTAATTTACAGCTTGCAGAACATAATTTACGCTCAAATAAAGCGTCTTTTACGTGTCCCTACGCGCAATTAACGTTTAATAGAAATTTTAAATTACGATCTTAATACAAACGGATTTTACGATTTACTAATGCGTAATTTACGAAAAAAAACATCGTATTTTACGCTTGGAATCACTTTTTTCTTCGTCGTTAATTACGGATAAATAAACATAAAAAACGGAAAAAAAATCACCGTAATGTACGAATACGAAACCGTAAATTACGTTTATGTAACATTAATTTACGCTTCAACGTCAAGCGTATAATACGCTTCAGAATGCGTAAAATACGACTTCTTGAACGTAATTTACGTTTAGGTTTTTCGGTGCGTACACTCTCTTTCGCTCAGCCACCTTCAAAAATCGCCGGGTACACTGAGAAAAATTTCAGTGGTAATTTTAACTACAACGGAATTGTCAAAGAAATTATATTGACAGTAACAATAAATTTTGTAGATTAAACTAGGAATCCTCGTTCGATTTACTATGTCAAATAGTGTCATCAACATTATGATGTAATTTTCACTTTAATGTAATAGTTGAATCTACGATGTTTATTGTTACCATAACTACTATTTTTTTGACAATTCCCTTGTAGTTGAAATGACCATTGAAATTTCTCTCAGTGTAGGTCTCATTGAATTTCGATATTCTAGGAAGAAATCCGACACTTGCTGGAATATGCACCGGCCGGTGCGTCGTTGAAAATGCTCTATCATTATCTGCAGAATGTTAATTCAGGTAATAAATTGCTAGGAACAGACTCGTCCATGGACAATCGGGAATCTCATTGACACTGATTTTTTCGCAGGTGGATTCCACAAATACGATTATGAGTCGAGCGCTGCTAATCTCCAGCATTACGGCCAACGAACGCCTCCAGAATACAATTTGAGGAACGTTGAAGCTCCTGTTGTATTAATTTATATCAAGACCGACTTTTTCGCCCCGGAAATCGTAAGGATCGTTACAGGATTTGTAAAATCCTAGTGTTTTCTTAGTTAACCTGTTGTGCTTTCAGAGCACGAGAATTCTGGAGGAACATCTGCCGAATGTAGTCGTCTCCGAAGCCGTTCGCGATAAGGACTTTATACATTCTGATTTCATACTTCATAAGAACGGGGGGGATATCATTCACGGAAGGGTCATCCAACTGATTGATGAAATCTTGAAAATTAAGAAGAAATTATGAATTCAACGCAATAATTATGAATTATTGGATGATTACAATAACTAAAATTGATTGAGCATTGGGAATTTCAACTGGAATTTATAAATTCTGTGGTGTTAATGCGTGATAAAATGAGCAGACAATTGTTCTGCATTCATACTTCATAAGAACGGGGGGGATATCATTCAGGGAAGGGTCATCCAACTCATTGATGAAATCTTGAAAATTAAGAAGAAATTATGAATTCAACGCAATAATTATGAATTATTGGATGATTACAATAACTAAAATTGATTGAGCATTGGGAATTTCAACTGGAATTTATAAATTCTGTGGTGTTAATGCGTGATAAAATGAGCACGCAATTGTTCTTGTGGAAATTTTTTATCATTTCAGTTTTTCTCCTATTTAATCATATTTTGTGTCGTCCGTTTGTCGGTGGGAACCATGTCGTTATTAAAATGAACATCTCAATTTGATCTTCGATTTTCTGGTCGGTCGGGGGGGGGGGGGGGGGGTCGTACTTCCACAACTGTATACATCCACGGCTGTCCACAGATTTGTGAAAAATGTAAGGGAACAACTGTACACAACCACATCAGTGCACGGTCCTTGCAGACGGTCAAACAGTGTCGCTAGAGTAGAAATTGCATTCGTTTTATTTGCAGTCGATATCAATTATGTATGGCGCCATGTGTCCCACTATACCACAAATGATCGTCTCAACAAGGTCCGCGACTCTACCGGGTGTCCACTGTTAATTAAACGCATATGTATCCCAAGTAGACTCTTTTGAATTAACACTGCGTAGCGCAGTCTCATTTGAATTGAGACATCAATCTAATATTATTGAATGGTTTAATAAAATTGAAAATGCAAATAAACTTGCTGTAAATTTATATAATTTTATTTTGAATTGAAGGCCCGAGTTGTAGACCCGAGTTTGTAGCAGCGATGTCAGACAAGATATGAATGTTTTTTTGGGCTCAAATGAAAGAGCGGGTCGAGAAATGGCGTGC